AAGATTTGGGCATAATTGTCCAGTTGATGTGGGGGAGCCGGCATTGGTCATGTAATTCAGCGCCTGGCGGGGTATTTGCCCGAGGAGTAGCTGTTTTGGCTGATGTCGGTTTACCTCTCCCGGTGGGCGTTTTTGGGAGATTTGCTTTGCAAATTCCCAGCCCCCGGTGTTTAGAGGTCTGGATTCTCCACACACCGACAGGTGGCGCTCTGCGCTACCACTGTCTCATCTGAACTCAGACTGGTTGATTTGAGTTGTGTACAAAATTTCAAATTCCTATCTGCATTCGAAGTTAAAAAGTTTCTAATGTAGGCCCTAAAAGAATCACCTTGTATTATTGTTATGTTCAATACAAATCTATCAATCTATAATTTTTAATGTAGCGTATCTAAAGTGAAAACCTACCAGTTTATAGTGGTTAGCTTAAAGTTTGAATGTATCGTATCCAAAGTGCAAACCTACCATTTTATAGTGGTTAGATTTAAGGTTTGAATGTACCGTATCCAATGTGCGAATCAACTCTTTTATAGCTTGTTAGGTTCAAAGTAAGGAGCGTTTTTTCAGTGTTAAAATAAATACATATATTCCCCTTTCATAAGGATAATGCATTAGTTTTCGGCTTGTTGTCTGTGTGATATCGAAGAAAAAGTTAAGTAGGAACAATGCTTCTGAAAAAAACATCTAAAAGTATTACAGAAGTTGTTGGTTCATCGAGTTCATCAGAATAGTTTCCAAAAATTTCCAACAATTTCGTCTCACTATACTTGTGCACAGCATTTTGAGCGAAAAAAATATTCAAACATAGCGTGTTATGTCACAACATGCCAGAAAATTAATAAATGTCAAAATTATAGTAAAACAACAATTTTTTGAAACTTTTAGGCAAATTGGTATTATTTTAGTAACCTAGCAACAGATATAATTTTTCAATCACACCCTGAGGTGCCCTTCTGTGATTGGTGAAATTAAGAGTCTAATAAATTTCTTCTGCAAGCAAAAATTACTTCTTCGGCTACACTTTTTGGCAACCTATGGCCGGCGGCATTTGACATTTTTCTCTAGGACGCGAGTTCTGGCGCACCTGTATAGTTTATTTTCTATTTTTCTTCTTCGCTTGGTACAAAAATAAATATGTACAACTAGGTTTCAACACATTTTGTTCTCTTCTTGAAATAGTTTCTAGAAGAATATTTTTTCCTACGACCATGTACGAAACTAGATCAAAACGCACAATTACATATACGCGAAAATTGACAATATCGTACGAGGTCAAAAACCTGTGCGATTTGTTTGCGCACTGTGTGTTAGAAATCTAACGCACAATTCACACTCGAATGTTTTGTATTTTTTCATTCAACGTATTTTTTTGTATGCATTATGGAAAATAAATCGTTATTCAACGTATTTTTGTATCCATTATAAAAAATAAATCGTTATGAAGAAAAAATATGTTCGTAAGAAAAAAAATATTTATGGTCGTAGGAAAAATACTGTATAAAACTTGCAGGAAAGTGTCTAATGCACTCGCGGGATTGCCTGCACTCGGCTAACGCCTCGTGTACAACTTTCCCGCTTGTGCGCTTTCCGTGCTCATTATGTAATATACTATTTTGAAATCTAGTTCAAAACGCGAATATTATACAGGCTGCGCCAGAACTCGCGCCCCAGAGAAAAATGCCATATAAGGTAAGATACCAGGAACATGGAAAAAATGTTAAAAAAATTTTATCTATAAAAATTTCGAAGTTATGAATGAGGGTTTAAAGTTTGCACTTTGACTCTATTTATTTCTGTTGGAAAAATAATTTTCTAAGTTTTTTTGCTATAGGCTATTAAAAGAGGAAACAAGGAAGCTGTTTCCTAAATTGTAACTATGTTCAATGTTATTTGCGGCTTTTATTGGCAAAATTTTTGTCCCTGTACTAAATAATTGTAAAAAAACATATACAATATCATCAGTATCATTATATAGATATAAAAAAATGTCAAACGTCAAAAAATATGTCAATTTTTTTTGACAGTTTGAATTTTTTAAACATTTTTTTCATGTTCCTGGTATTTTACCTTACTTGAAAATTTTCTCTGGGGCGCGAGTTCTGGCGCACTTGTACATTAAAACGTTGTTAAAAATTTTAATACATTTTAGAATACAGAATACAACAATTAATTTTTACAGAATTGACCCCAATACAATCTTTTGTGTTTTTTCTTTGCTTTTTAGAAAGTCGGAAAGACTTATATTTTATTCTCTATTTCCGGAATTCGTTCAAAAAAGAATTTCACATTGTAATAAGTAGATAAATCTTAACTTTAATCTATGACAGTGTGTGAGATTTTAGGTTATAGCACTTGTCAAACAATCAATATTTTACCCAAATTTTCATTTTATCCCAAATAGCAAAAATGTGCAAAAGTGTATATTAAAATAAGCTCACACAGTGTGAAGAACCTGGAATAAAAAATCTACTAAAGCTAGTAAAGACAGTAATAATATTGAGGTTATGTCTTGTACCGTTTTATGACAGTTTGTTGAAAATCTACCACAGTATTCACCCTAGTGCATCATCAGACATATTCTTCAAGTTTTTTTACATCGAATGTTTGATGGTGGACTCTTTTGATTAGTTTATGTACTATAAAATTAACTTTTTAACAACTTTATGACGTTCTTAACTTGCAATTTTTATTAATTTTAAACACCTTAGTTTTGTCCAGCGTTAAATATTCTATGTTAAATATTCCTGATTTATATGCCTGATGAAACTGACTACTGTTCAGTAAATTGTCTCATAATGTATACTTTTTAAGACATTATATTAAAGTTATTTTTTTTTTATTTTAGTAGAAAATAACTGCAATGCAAAGCAACTTAGCGCCTGGTAAATTAAGCTTTAATTGTGGCACATCACTTGAAGTTTTTGAGTGTAAAATGTGTAATTTTAAAACAGATTTGAATATTATTTTGCATTATCACAGAAACTTGCATCACAATTATAAAAATGTACAAACTCCCATGAAAAATCCAGAATTTAAATGATACAAGTGCCATTTTGCAACCTATTCAACATTATTATGGTTCAAACATAGGTAATGTTAGAAGAAACTTGAAAATCAATGACTTTACGAATGTTCACAGATTTGAATGCACATTACAACACTACAGCCTTTGCAGACATCCTCCATCTGAAGAAATCAAATGGTTTCAATGTGAACATTGTGATTATAAAACACAACAAAAAGCGAGTTTCGAAAGTCACAAAGTTTACAATCATTCGCAAAATACGAGTAATGCCATGTATGAATGTAAACAATGTACATACAAAACAAAAAACCGACGCCACCTGAAATTTCATGAATTAAGACAACATGCGACTCTTGATGACCCCCAGTGGTTTAACCGTGAGCAATGCACCTACCGGACAATAGCCCAATCTGATTTGTCGAGGCACATTCTATCACGACACACAGAAAAGGCTTTGAAAAAGAAAATTGAGTTCTCTTGCACCTTGTGTCCGTTCAAAACTTTGTATCAGCAGTCTTTAAAGCAACACATCGTTGGACATCACACTGCATCTGAAGAAATCCGATGGTTTGAATGTGATCAATGCGACTACAAGGGCAAATGCAAAAAATATTTTAAAATACACAAAAAAAATGCAACACTCTGATGGTAGTGTTAATAAGATCTCGTGCGATAGTTGTTCCTTTAAGACAACAACCCAAGAGGCGTTGAAGAAACATATTGCAAGAAAACACCCTTCAGGGAAATTGTTACATGAATGTCCTCATTGTTTTTTTACGGCGAGGTATAAGGTGTTTCTGAATCACCATATAATAAGACAACATACTGCCGCTGAACAGATTGAATGGTTCAGATGCGCTCATTGTGATTACAAAGGAAAATTCAAAGGAGATTTGAGTAGACATATAAAATATAGTCATAGCAGTGCTGTGGTTAAGATATTTAGTTGCGATTTGTGTGAGTACAAGTCTACGAGAACACACAGTCTTAAAACTCATAAGTTAAGGAGACATTTCTCACAAAAAGAAGAGTTGTAAATTGGAGTTTTGTTTAGCATTTATGTGTAAAATTAAACACAGTTTTGTAATTTGTTACTTCTTGTATTATAATTATTATTTTCATAAATTTATAAAGAAAAAAATTGTTCGAGCTGTCTTAGTTTTTGTTTAATAAATTTCTAAAAAGTGCAAATCGACTAATAGAAGTTTAGCGTAAAAAAAAAATTGTTTTAAAAGGCTACATTCAAAAATGCCACGCTGTATAGTTGAAAATAATTTTAGGTGATGCACTAGATTTAGTATCTATAAATGTCCTGTACATTTTTTTTAATTTTACTTTTAAAGATCTCTAATGGACTTTTTCAACTCGCTGGGAGACCCTGTATATGAGTTTAGCAGGAAACCAAAAGTACATTTTCTGTAATTACAGATGTAATGACAAAAAAAAAGAACAAGATAGGAAGTGCACTAAATGCGGTTTGCGTTTTTTGTTGCAGTTCATTTAATGTTTTAGACGAATATTTAAAATTGATGAAATCTTATAATTTATACAGGCGAGCTACAACCCTGAAAAAAATGCGTTTTTTAATGGGGTTTTTCCACTATTACAGAATAGATAAAATTACAAAAGTTGGAACAGCTGATATCCTTAAAACACCTGAACGAATTCAAAGATCAGTTGTCAAAATTTTTAATCACGGGCGTCTTAAACGGAATTTAATTTTAAATTTTTATTCTCTTTATGGTCTGTAACACATTGTAAACTGATTTTACTCAAAAACGATAAATTATATTGAAAAAACGCAAGAGACCTATTTTTTGTGAAAAACTATAAAATTTAAAATTGTGTGACTGAAAGTGGCAAGAACCAACAGCCAAACTATTTATGGTACTTTTACCCTAAACCCCCCAATATAAGATACCCCTGAGTAAAAATTTTGACATTTTATCTTTGAATTTGTTTGGGTGATGATTGCTGAAATATTGGAAAAAATTCATGAAAAAATGTACACCTTTCAGGAGATGTAGCTCCCATATTTAATATTTTTCGACACATGTTCATAGGAAACTTTTATCTTAAAATTGAATATTCTATCACCTGCTTAAATTTGTAACAATAAAAACGGAACATCCTGTATAAATAAAAATTAAGTAGGTGTCTAAAAATACACGTTTATTTGAATTTGTTTTAATATAGAGGGTTATTCATAAATATGAAACAATAGTTGAACCTCAAAAATAAACTATAAAATGATGTTAATTTTAACATCATAAGATAAAACTTTTACAGTCCTCGGAATGTGGTTATGGAAATTTATTTTTTTTTGTAATAACTCTGACCAAATATTATAAAATTTGGAATAGTTACTTGCAAGAACATACCCTTTAGGCTAGTAATTACGAAAACCGGATACATCTACACAGTTTCCGGTTTCAGCAGTTGAAGGTCACATTTTTTGTGTTTCCGTTTTTTGGGCTCTTAACACTATTTTTTATTGCTTAAATCTAAAGAGGAATCAATTTCGATTAAAAAACGCATAACCTTTTATACCACTAAAATGGACCGTTTTAAAGATATTTTAATTTAAAGTGAGGACGCTGAAAATGAAAAATATGAATTTTGAATAAGTGGTATCCACGGCAACCAATGACCATGGTCACATAAATCCCTACCAGGCATCTGTTAACTTTGACGATAAATTTTTGTGATTTTTTTATTAATTAAATGCCACGAGATCTATTTGGATTTATTCTAAGTTATGTTTGGAGTCTGAGGTAAACTCTTTTATTAAATACTATCTGTTGCCCGCGGCTTCGCTCGCGTGGTAGTTTGACATCCACAACTATTTCAAAACGCAGAAGGGCTAAGAAACTTAATAACAAAATATAGCAACACATTATTTATTATGAACTTCGTAGTAAAAATAAAAAGTCTGTCTTTTATAACTTATTTAAAAACCGTAAAATTTTAAGTCTTATTTCATGGATATTACTTAACAATGACAAATTTTGATACAAATTTTCATTCCATGTTTAACTATAATATATATTTATACAAACTTTCATCCCTTATTTGACCCCCTTAGGAATAGAATTCTTCAAAATCTTGAAACACGTGCTATTTTGTTTTTAACTGAACACTCAAATATCAATTTTCATAGATTTAACTTAAAAAAAACGGATATTTTACGAAGTTTTACCCTTGTTCAACCCCCTTGAGAGTGAAATTTCCAAAAATCCGAAACACGTGTTACTTGATTTTTAATCGAAAGCCTAAATACAAATTTTCAAGGATTTAACTTTATAAATGAGATATTTTAATATAAATTGTCATCCCTGTTTAACCCCCTAGAGGGTAGAATTTTCAAAAATCCTAAAACACGTGTTTTTTCATTTTTAACCGAAGGCCCAAATCCCAATTTCCATAACTATAACTTCAAAAATGACGAATTTATAAATATTTATACAAATTTTCATCCCTTGTTTGAACCCTTAGGGATAGAATTCTCCAAAATCTTGAAACACGTGCTATTTTGTTTTTAACTGAACACCCAAATACCAATTTTCATAAATATAACTTCAAAAATGACGAATTTATAAATATTTATACAAAGTTTCATCCCTTGTTTGACCCCTAAAACACGTGTTTTTTTGTTTTTAACTGAGAGCCCAAATACCAATTTTCATGAATTTAACTTTAAAAAAAATACAAATATTTTACGACCTTTTACCCTTGTTCAACCCCCTTGGGGGTGAAATTTCCAAAAATGGTAAAATACGTATTTTTTTATTTTTAATCGAAAGCTCAAATACCTATTTTCATGGCTATAGCTTTAAAACTTCGAATTCACCACCCCATTTAACCCCCTTAGGGGTTGATTTTCCAAAAATCATTTCTTATTGGATGCCTACGTTATAAAAGGTATCTACTGTGAAATTTTGAAATTTCTGTCTCCAGCGGTTTAGGCTGAGGGTTGATAGGTCAGTCAGGACAAGCCTCTTTATACAGGATGTTTCACGTAATTTTACGAGGCCTGCGGCTGTAAGATGCAATCAATAATACATATTCCGATACGAACTCGATTACAAATTTGGAAAAATTGAATAATTTTCTCTAATTTGTTCACCCTTTAAATAATTACAACGTTTTTAGTTAGTTAGTAATTAAGATAGGTAAACTAGAATCATATTCATGCCGTTTCTTGATAGAACAAATGATAATTGTTTCTGAAAAACTGCAGTTTATGACTATTAATGAAACAGTGATTAGTTTGACAACTACTGTCATGGGTTTCCAAAAATTAAATAATTAAATGTGTGTTTTTTGTATCCAGTGTTCTGTGACTTTTGTATATTTGGGTGCGTACATTAGGCGTAAGCCTCGTAAAGTTATGAGAAATACCCTGTATACAGTATGTTATTGAAATGCGTTAAGAAATTTTAAACGGTGATAGAACGCATCAAAACAAATTACTTCTATATTTACCATTTTTTCGAAAACTCAAATTTATACTTACATTTATTTTCACCGTATTCCGTGTCATCGAGTCGTTTATGGATGGCACGGTACGCAAAAAAGTAAATACGGCAAAAACCCAGACAGATAAGTCTTGCAAAAACTTACTGACACAATTTAGTCACGTCCTTCACCTGCATACGGCCGTGTTTACAATTTATTGGAAAGTGAATTTTCCGTAATTATTGTCAAAAATGGTGCAGTACACTAATCCGGAGTTAACAGACATGGTGGTGATTACGGGGAAGCTTTATCGAATGCTGGTGCAGCCAGGCGTTTGTACCCGTGTACAAACAAAAGATTTCGCGGTCGCCAAGTTCAAATTTAGAAAATCGGTGGATAGGTCGTAATGGATCAGTTTTATGGCCAGCTCGTTCACCGGACTTAAATCCTTGTGACTTTTTCCTAGGGGACCATTTAAAACAAATTGTGTATAAGACTCCAGTTAACACCGTCAAAGAATTAACTGTTCGTGTGAATAATGCTGTCGAGTCAATTCGACGAAATTCCGACATGTTGGTGAGAACTAAAGCTTCTTTGGCTAGAAGGGCACAAGCATACATCGATAACGGACATTTAACATTTAATTTGAAGGTTAGTGCCCTTGATCAAGTATGGTGCGTAACTTGAATGTCACTCTCACTTACTACGAATAAAGAATTGGTTTTTGTTGACTATCTAAGTTTTTATCTTCTTTCGCTTTCAATGTACGCAGGGAGACATTGGCGGGTACTAGAATTTACGATCAAACTAATTAAAATTTTATCTGGGTTTAGAAAGATTTTTCGAACAAATAGTAAATAGAGAAATAATTTGTTTTGATGAGTTCTATCACCGTTTAAATTTTCTTAACGCATTTCAATAACATACTGTATATAGATTTTCAATTAATTGTCTAATAATCGTCCAATTTTAAGGGTGTCCGCGACCAACGATTCGAGACGTTGGTATATTGAAAACAAGATTACTCTCTTAATATGCAACAGAATTTCATGTATTATACATCAAAATAAAGGTTTTTTAAATATACAAGCCGATACGTTGAGATTTTTTTAAAAAAATTCAATGCTTTTAAAAAAAGAACAAAAATGCATAAATGGTGAACTTGAAAACAACTTTACTCAGTCATTTTTCAAGTAATCAATTTTGGTTTTTGTAAGATAATTTAAAAGAATATTCTATAGGCCGATACGTTGGCCTTTTTTTAAAGAAGTGTTTAATTTTTGAGATATTGTGATTGATGTAAAAGTCACGATATTTAACGGTAGACCTAAAGATTCGTTTTAGGGTTTTGGTATTTATTACAAAATATTAATTCTTAACTAATTCAACAAACACCATGTAATAAAACGCTGTTGTTTTTGAATTATTAATAAATATATTTTGCCCTAAAATGCCTCCTAGTTCATTGCTTTTACCACTAGAGGCGTTGCCAGTGCCGCTTCTGTCGAGGATCGAGGGTCTCTACCTGCCCTCGTCCCGACCCAAGCAAAGGACGGATTTCGGTCAGCTTTATCATGTAATTAGCATAATACTAATCAGTAATCAGTTAATATTATTACAGAACTAGAAGCAGAAACGTTGAAAAAACAAACAAATTTTGTAGATAATCAAATATTATTAGGTAATAGAAAATTAAAAAAATGGGATTTGGGCTGGAATTTATCTTGTACCTGCATACATAATGTAGGTAAGTTTTGTAAATAGACACAACGGCTTGTTTTTTGAATTTGAAGTTTACCTGACCATTTTTTTTTTCCGAAAAAATGTGTGCTTTGTAGACATGTAAGATTATTTATTTTTTATAAGAGTTTTAATAAATGGCAACAATAATCAGAAAAAATAATTAATTATACAATATTATCAATAATGGAATAACTATGACAAATAAAAATCTCTAATAGGTAGATTGCGTTTTCGCCGCGAATCAAGTATTTCAGGTAGAAGAGCCCCGTAATAAAATTTTGTCAGTTTCTCCACCATTTTCTTACATAATTCATCGTCCCTATAAATTACTTCAAAACTTAGACCTTTTTCAGTGTATATAACAAAGTAAGCTTTAGCAATATTGGAAACTAGCATTTGACCTTGAACTTGGTACATATATGCATGATTTTTCTTCAACTCAATTTTGCCATTTACCAGATTGGCAAATTTAATCCTTTTTGATCGTACGGCTTCTTCTGGGGTGACTGATGTGGCTGGACATTTAATTTTCACAAGTGCAGAGTCGTCTTCTAAAACTCTATCTGGCGTGGCTGCCAAAAATGGTCTCCTTGCATCAATTATTAGACCAACTTCTTTTGTTTTCAGTAAGGTAACTTTTTCAAAAGCAGTAACTGCTTTGCTCTCACTGCATTGACCATACCTGGTATTTGCATTTCCACAAAAAGATCCATAAAGAAGATTCTCTATTATTTTTTTTGTGGAGGTGGTTTTCCTTAATTTAAAAACACGTCCAAAATTTGACGCTGTAATTCTGATTTTCCTTTCTCTGGCCCACAGCTCAGACAGTGCTTGATTTTTTGTATTACTTTCTATGTCGGCAATATTTTTTCCCAACTGTTCCAAAAACTCTTTTTTTATCAATTCGAACTCAGTTTCTTCTAGGTCCTCTAAATTGCCACCGCATAAACCGTAATTCAAATCGGGCCCAGCAGTTTTTTTACTTTTTCCATAGCTTCTTTTCCTCAATCTTTCTTTGATTTTTTGGATTTTCTTACAGTATTTGGAAGTATATTTGCCTATACCCCTTGACAAAATCCGTTTCTGAATTTCGTTGTGATAACTTCCATGTTTCGAATTAAAAGAAACTGCTGCGGCTTCACAACGTAATTTATAGCTTCCGCTACCAGAAAAATTTATTCTTTTTCCTCCGACAAATTTTCCAATTACGGAATTAAAAGATTCTGCCAAGTTGTTGGTGACATTGTGCAGTAGGCTCCATGAATTTTGGGCGAGTCGTTTGTTTCTGAAAAGTATTTCTTCCATAAAATTACTTTTTGACAGCTTTGTGGTTGCGTCCTGCTCGCCTGCTGCAACTGCTGCCAAAAAATATCAACTTTATTCCAGATTTTTAGTGATATATTAGATATTTAGATATATCCCTTTAAAAATTTTTTGACTATTGTAACCGTAACAATTTTAATTTGTGTGGAATTATACGTAAATATATGCATTGTTACCAGAAACAGATGATCAATGTAATTAAGTGAAATTAATAAAAGCTTATTGTTAATTGCAAAAAAAATAAAATAAATTTATTTCAATTAGCAAAATATTGCTGAACAACATTTTTTTCTAATTATTCGTCCTTCTAATACGACTTTAACACGTCTGGCTCATTAAAGCATCGGTTTTGGTATCAAAATAAGCTTTCCTTCAGGCGCGAAATAGAAAAAAATACAAAAAATATTATTAGGCATTTCATAAAATACAAGGTTAAATGTTAAACATTTTAATTAATATAAAAAAGAAACATATTTCAAGAAAATAAATAAATCTTCCAAATATGTAATTTCATCGTACATCAGTACCTCTGTCAAATTTAGAAGGTTTAAGCTTTTGGTTGGTTGTTTCAAAAAAATTTTCTGCAGCCCGTTTTTGACCAGAAACACATCCTGTTCTTTGTGTTTGTATGATCTCCTCGTTTCTGCACAATTCACACTTCGCTATTCCATTAGCTTCCATTAGTAACGTTAAATCATGTAAAATTGGTTTGGTACATTTAACACAAGAAACTGGTTCAACAATTGAGATATCCTTCATGTCATATTCTTCGGTTTTCGTTATTACGAAATGTTCCTCACTTACGTTTTCGTTTTCTTCGGCTTTGACTTCGGTTATGTTTTCTTCTAAAATTGTTTTACTCATCACTTTTTCTAAATCCTCTTCAGTTGTTATTTTTTTAGCAATTTCTTTAGGTAAGTTGGAGGAGAGAAGTCCAAGTGAAAAATCTACGCCAAACAATGCTTTGTAAGGGGTACGTTTTATAATCCCATTATAAGAAGAATTTTTTTGCCATTGCACATAATAACAACCTAATGACCAATTTGTTGAATGGTTATCATTGAGCCATGCTCTCAGCATATTTTCAACATCTTGATTAGATCTCTCAACACTTCCTTGAAACTGTGGGTGACGAGGACGACCATTCACAATCTTGCAAGAATGCCATCTTGAACTCAATTGTTCAATTACAGCATTCACAAACTCTCTCCCATTATTGCTTTGTAGAATTTGTGGGGCACCAAATTGCAAAAATATTTTTAAAATTTCAGACGCCACTTCTTCTACTCGTTTGGATTTTAAAGGTCTTAAATGAACAAATTTTGTAAGATAATCTTGATAGTTTAACAAGTATTTATAGTCTCCATCTGGAGTTGACTGAAAATCTATCAAATCTATCTGTCCTCTGTGATTCCATCCTATGGGCAGGATGGGTTTAACTAGTATTCCTTTTTTTGGCTGCTGTTTTTTTTCGGAGCAGGTGGTACAACACTTAACAAAAATTTCTACTGCTGGCCGAGGAATTGAATATTTTGGTTTCAGTAACTTTAGCATTTTATCGCGGCCTCCATGGCCATTGCTTATATGAGTTTCAACTAATTTTTCATAAAATTTCTCATACGGCACTATAAAAGTTATTTCATCATTAGGACTTTTTCTTTTCTTTATAATAATTGTTTCTCCACCTATTTTCATAGTTTCATAAATACGCGAGAAATAATGCTGCTCATTGGTCCTTTTTTCGCCTTTTTCTTTTGCTTCCCTGCTGGATTGCAAAATTTTGTTTATTTCTTCTACTTTTCTCAACGTCCACGGCTTCTTAATACCTTTTTCGTGAGCTAGGACAAAAATAATGAATTATTTAGTTGAAATTTATTTTTGAGGTTATGTTGTTTTATTATTGATGATTGATGAATAATACTAAGTGATGTTTTTACTTACCCTCATAAAATTTTTGTAGTTCTTGATAATACAACTCTTTATTAACGAAGGCATGGCTGTCTGTATCTTCTAGCATTTTAAATTTTATGATCGAACTAATAAATTCAATAATACTGTCTTGCCAACAGGCGTATTATAATACGCCTAAATAACGCAGTTTTATTTCAGTCGTATTATAAATTAACCAGAAATATTTTACTATGAGACCAACACTTACTCAGCATTTTATAATACGCCTAAAATTTTCCGTTCAATGGTAAAAACACACTGCATTTATTCATTCATTTACAGTTTGCCCAGTAATTTACAAAATGACTAGGCATTTTTTAAACGACTGAATTTGTAAATAGCCTACGACATAGGTATGCATCAAACAACGCATAATAAGAACTAGATATAAAATAAATATAAAGTAACATTACCTATGCACCATTGTTTGGCTTAAGGAAAAATTGAAGTATCCTTCAATCGACCGCTGGTAATAGCCAGTGGCAAAAACTTTCACTTAAAAAATATTATTTTAGTGGAAACAGAAATGTTTGAAATAATTGACATATTTAATAGGGTTAATATATAAAATACCTGCTTGTTCTTAAATATGGAGTTAATTCGACAAGTTCCCACGCAGCATTTTTATTGTGTCTAAAATTCTGAGAAAGTGTTAAAAATTTAATGTCTCATATTTTTTGAGCGGCATGGTAAAGTTATTTTTTAATATACAAAGCTTTAATATACAAAGCAAAAAGTCTTTTTTTTGTTAAACAGCACTTGTACATTTTATTTCTCATTACAACAGCAAAATCAATCATTTTGCGAATGTCTAAAAACCGACTAATTGCGTTAATTGTCATTATCATTACATAATAATTATTATGTAAAGTCCGTTTTTTTATTTATGCGTGTCAATTCGAAAGACAATTATCTCTTTTCAACATTTGTAAATAGCCTTACGCAATACGTAGCTTCGCTACGTATTTGCATAAGGTCGGTCACCTTATTTATCTCACTTTAACAAATGCAATTAAAGTAACGCAGAACGTACATCTTGGCGTCAAGTAGGTCATTTGTAATTTCATTTTTAATTGAAAAACTGTTTTGAGACTAATATTTAGACCCTCTATATCATCATAACAATCGTACGAAATTCAAACCCTATAAAAATCCAGAGAGAAGCTTTAATTTTTGACTTTAGTACCAAAATGTCTGAAGTGTCAAAAACAGACGGAGGTCATGTCGTGTTCTTGATTCACACTATCCCCACCAGCAAATAAAAAAAAATAGACTTTATACAGAATGTTTCGTTTTATTGTTGAATGTTGGGGTTTAGGGTAAAAAGTACTCTAACTTATTTGGCTGTAGTTTCTTCCCAATTTCAGCAACAAAATTCTAAATTTCATGGTTTTTCATAATTTTTGCATTTTCCCGATTTTGAGTAAAATCAGATTTAAAATTTATGTTACAGACCCTAAAGAGCATAAAAATTAAAAATTACATTTGTTTTGCCGTTTAGGACGCCACTAATTAAAAATTTCGACATTTCATCACGGTATTCGTTTAGGTGTATACAGGTTTTCAGCTGTACCAAATTTTGTAATTTTATCTATTCTGAAATATTGGGAAAAATCTTTTTTCTAATTTACGTTTATAATACATTTATTAACGTCTCCAGTAGAAGTCGTTTATGGCTATCTATAAAAGCCCACTGTACTTTAATGAATTTAGGGTTATTTAGTTTTTGGATGCCGCTTTTGACGTGTCAGGTAACAAATTTTGCGTTGTTGCTTCGGCAATTTCACGAATTTCGAGCGGAGTGCAAACTGAATTCTGTTTCTCATATTTTATTTAATATTATTATGTTGTAACACTAATAACTAATAATTTGCAAATTTTATTTTTAATGACAGACGGCAGCAATGACTCAAAAAAACAGGTGGGCGCCGAGTGTTACCAACCGATACCAACTAACACAAAATTCTCTAGGCGACAAAAAAAATATTTTTTTAATTAAAATAAGGGGACACAAATTAGAAAAAATAGCATAAAATACTCGTTTTCTAATGTCATTGGCGCACTCATCCCATAGAAAACTCGCTTACGGCTCGTTTTCTAACTTGGGATTCGTGCGCCAAATCAACCCTTATAAAACTTGTTCTTTAATATACTATTAAAAAACGCAGCCCTTTTAAGGGATGTAGCTTCCTTACACAGCATTTTTCAAAACATGTTTATATTTAGGAAACTTTTGTTTTAAAATGAAATATTTTATGATCTATTTAAATTCCACAAAAAAATGCAACACTCGAATGCTAGCGTTAAGAAGTTCACGTGCGATAGCTGCCTCTTTAGGACAACAACTCAGGTGGCGTTGAAAAAACATATCGCAAGAAGACACCCTTCAGGGAAATTGTTACATGAGTGTCCTCATTGTTTTTTTACGGCGAGGTATAAGGTGTACCTGAATCAGCATATAACAAGACAACATACTGACGCTGAAAAGATTGAATGGTTCAGATGCGCTCACTGTGATTACAAAGGAAAACTTAGAGTAAATTTGAATAGACATATTAAGGTAGTTCATGGAAATACTGAGAGGAAGAAGTTTAGTTGCGATTTGTAAGAGTACAAGTGTACGAGAAAAGACAGTGTTGAAACGCAAAAGTTGAGGATGTATTTCCCAAAAAAAGAAGTGTTGTAAATTTGAGTTTTCTTCAACTATTATGTGCAAAAATAAACACTTTTGTAATTTTTTACTTGTTATTTATTTATCGTAAATTTATTAAACTTGTTTTTTAATATACTATTTTGGCTAGTTTAGTTTAGATTATTTGTTTACTTTCAGTGTTGCCAGCTCAAAACAATTAAATTCACCAGATCTTAGTTGAAAATTTACTAGATTTACTCCTATTTGCACCAAATTAAAGATTATTGATATGATTTAATTTTTTTGATACTGTCGAAGATTCGCGTTTTTTACATAAATCTCGCAAACCTACTCGAAAACGTGCTTAAACACTCGAAAAATTAAAAAATAGGTAACGCTATGTTATTTAGTCTAATTCTATAATTTTTTGTCTAGTTTTTAATTAAATTTTGCAAAATATCGCGTAACAAAAAATCTATTGGCAACACTAAATTAGTGGTAATCTTTCTAAATTTGTTATGTCAGCAGAATGTTTCAGGTGACGGCTAAATCACTAAATCAGTACTCGCCCGTCGCTAATGAATGACAATTGCCTATAAAAGTTTGACGTTTGAATGTCACCCGATATTAACGTTTTTACTTGAAAAACATGCTAAAACACTTGATAAAAGAAAAAATTATGACTTAATTTGATGTTTTTTGTGTTTGTTTTAGCAAAATCTTACAATTAACACCATTTTCGATCATGTTTCGTATTTTTCGTCTTATTTTTTTGACAAAATTTCACTCAAAAAGAGCTAAATCGAATGAAACAAACAAAATAACATCAATTTAGATTTATTTTTGTTATGTTTAAGTATGTTTTAATATAATCCTGCAAAATAAATGAGTCTCTGCTTCAAAAATGAACTAAATCAAACAAGACACGCTAAACGATATCAATTTCAATTTAATTTGGTATTTTTTCAGTCAGTTTTTACAAAAATTTAAATGTAAGTACCTATTTTTTTTAAAACGTGCTAAAACATTTTATAACTCTGTAACACTAGTTTTGACCTAATTTGATAAATTTTCGGTTTATTTTTAACCAAATTTTGCAAAATAGTTCTGTTTCTATCTAAAAACGCTCATAAATATACAAAATAATGTACTTTTTGACTCTTTTTACCGATTTTTTTACCTTGAGTGAAATATTATTTAGAAAAACAAAACTATTTCCCGATTTTTCAATTTGTTTTGAGAAAATTTAGCATTTGAGTTTCTGCATGGCTAAAAAACGTGCAAAATGCTCAAAAAATACAAAAAAAAAACATAGAGTTATCATTTTTGACTAACTTTACCATATCAATAATTAAAAAATCAAATTAAAAAGTTAATTTTACTAACATTTGGGCGAATACTCGATTTAAAAAATTATTTCAAATAACATTAATTTCTGTTGGAATTACAGTCACGTGTCTAAAAACATCAGAAAACAGAATTTTTGCATAAGTTTTTACCAAATCATTAAACTAGTATAAAAATCACCACTCTGGTGAAATTTCACCAGACTTGGCAACACTGTTTACTTTATTCGATTTTATTTCAGTACAAAAGTGTGAATGTTGGAAAGGTCAAAACCATTTTCTTACTTGACTGTTATATTTTGTTCAAAAATGTAATACCGACCTTACCAGATATACCAATTTCAATGATTTTATACTTAATTTTAATAAGTGTTAAGAAATTAACATATCCTTTTAAACAGCTGCTTAAAATTCTATATTTCCGGAATTCACAGAAAAAAGATTTTGTTTTGATTACCAGTGGTGACAGTAGTGGATGATGAATGAGTGTGTCACACGGAAACACTGAGGTTACTTCCTGTGTCAAACAACTGTAATAATTTATCCCAAAAAAGTGTATTAAAAACGTCCGATACAATGAAGAATCTGGATTAATATTACTAAAGTTAGTAAAAAATATAATAACCAAAAAATCATTGTTATTTGTCATCATTTCAGAGAAAATAACTTGTTTTTAAAACCTGATTTGCTGCAATGGAAAGCAACTTAGTTGGTGAAGTAACCTTCAACTGTGATCAAACCGTTGAAACGTTCAAGTGTAATCTGTGTCATTTTAAAACAGATTTGAAGACTGTTTTGCATTATCACAGATACTTGCATCATAATTCGGAAGAGACACGTAGAAAAATTGCAAAATACAAATGCCGCAAGTGCGATTTTACAACATATTCAGTTTTATTATGGTTCAAACATAATGTTAGAAAAAACTTGGATATTAAGGATTTTACTAAAGTCTACAGATTTGAATGCACATGTTGTCCTTTCAAAGCTGTTTATAAGGTGTCATTGCATCTCCACATCCTTAATAAACACACTTCATCTGAACAAATCACATGGTTTCAATGTGAACATTGTGATTTCAAAACTAAACTAAAGGCATCATTAATAAGACACACCAGTTTAAAACACACACTTATTGATGAATCACAGTGGTTCAGTTGTGATTTGTGCAAATATAAAACACAACAAGAAACGAATTTAAAAAGACACAAAATTTACAATCATTCGCAAGATATAGCCATGTATGAGTGTACGAAATGTACCTACAAAACAAAACATCGAGGTTCATTGAAATGTCATGAATTAAGACATCATGATGATGCTCAGTGGTACAGTTGTGATTACTGTAACCACCGATCGAAAATCAAGAAAGATTTGTTGAGGCACATTCAATTACGACACACTGAAAATACTTCGAAAGCGAGAAATGAGTTCTCTTGCACTTTCTGTACGTACAAAACTTTGTATCAGCAGTCTTTAAAGCAACACATCGTTGGACATCACACTGCACCTGAAGAAATCCAATGGTTTGAATGTGATCAATGCGACTACAAGGGAAAACGCAAAGACTATCTTAATGTTCACAAAAAAATGCAACATTCTAATATTGGTGTTAAGGAATTGCCGTGCAATATCTGTTCGTTTAAAACAACAAATCAGGAGGCATTAGAGAAACACATCTTTAGAAACCATTCTTCAGTGAAATTACAAGAGTGTCCTCATTGTTTTTTTACCACGAGGTATCGGACACTTCTAAATCAGCACATAATAAGGTTACATACTGACGCCGAAAAGATTGAATGGTTCAAATGCTCTCATTGTGATTATAAAGGAAAAGTTAGAGGAAATTTGCTGAGACATCTTAGAGCAGTTCATAGAAGTGTTGGGAATAAAACGTTTAGTTGCGATTTGTGTGATTACAAATCAAATAGAAAAAGTAATCTTAAAAGGCATAAGTTTAAGCATTTCACAAAAAAAGAAAAGATGTAAATTTGTGTCTTGTTTTTTTTTTTTAATAAACATATTTTTGTAATTATGTGTTATTTTTTTGTTATTATTTATCCTAATAGAAAACGCTTTAGTAAACTTTATTATTTTCACGAAAAATGCGAGATATAAAATAATAAAACAATTATTATTATTAATGCATGGAAATGTAAAAATATTAACAAAAAATTACTTTTATTCACAATCGTAAAGTATTAATGAAATTACCTTGCATGTGAAAAGTTTTAAAGTATGGCATTTTAACTTCATTTAACAATTGATATGAAATATACAGTTCAAGTTGGGAAGTGGTCATTTTCTTATAAGTTGATATGTAATATGACAGTATCCACTTTGGGAAATGACTACTTACCAACCCGAACACTTAAGCTAAACTGTCATGTCGTTTTTCAAAATTTGATAAATTATTGGCTTTTGTTCTTTATTAGAAGGATGATTGTGAATAAATTAGTAATGAAGCACCTCACACCTCGGTATGTAATCTACTATTTTAGCTGTTTTGAATGATTTAGATTATTAACAAATTTTATTTAAATAACAATATTAAATTTTTGTTGTCTTAAACAATTCCTAAAAATAACGAACATTATGAAATTAATAACAACTATTTATAAAGGGTGTTTATTTAAATTTGGCGGTGATATGATGAGTGTGTTGCGAACGGACCACAATTTTTAATACGCCCCACGAGGTGTCAATGACTCCAAATTTAAAAAAAAACACCCGTTACAGTGAGCGGCAAAAATATGGAATAATCTTATTGAAAATATTCTGTTTTGAGAAATATGCTGGAAGAGATCAATTTTCTTTTTCAAAAATAGAAAATTCTCAATGTATATGTTTGTTTTTTGTTGATATTATTTCACTTTTTTGGTGTATTGTCATGTATATATGTCGATGACGTCATTACTCAAAAACCAAAAAGTGTGAAATTTTAAATTAATTTGAAAATTGTCTATTTAAAAAAATATACCTGTTCGAGCATTTTTGCCAAAATAAAATATTTTCAGTTTTAATAAGATTATTCCATAATTTTAACTGTATAACATTGATTTTAATTTTGTGGCCTCTTAAACAGTGGCCTATGTTTTTTTTATATTCTAGTTTTTGGGAATTCGCGGATAAAGTTTTTGTCTCATTATTATTATGACAGTGGGTGAGAACTTCGACTTCGCCTAATCCAGATGTTCTTTATAATAAAAGCAATGATCAAAGTCAAGAATACAAACAAGGTGATTCTTTTTAGGGCCTATATTAGAAACTTTTTAACTTCTAATGCAGATAGAAATTTAAAATTTGGTACACATCTCAAAACGACCAGTCTAAGTTCAATTAAATTATTTTAAAAATGGCTCCTCTCCAAACTGAGTAAAATGTATCTAGTTATTAGAACTTATCTGTCATAGTTTTTGACATATGTCAATTTTTGCTCAAAAACATTCATTTGCAGAGGTTTATTAAAAACATCACAGCTCTTGAACCGTTTGCGATAAGTCAATAATTTTTTTTGCATTCGATAACCAAACGTCCGAAGAGTTTCCTAAAATTTTCAAAATTGTCAACTGTCAAATTGCAAAGCTTATATGATTTTTTGAAAATGATATTTAACAAACAGCTATAACTCAGTTTTTTCAAATAAAATGACCCCATTTTCTCAACGGCAAGCGAAAGCGAAAGTTCTAGAAGGACTTTTATCAACATGTCCTATACCCATCTCTTACAGTTTCTAAAATAATCACGAAAAACATGTTTTTGTTTTTTATTTTTATAGTCAATCACGTAGGCTTTGGAAAATGATCAATACGTATTAAAGATTTAGACTACACAACACCCATTCGGAATTACGAAGAATTGAAGCAAGGATTGAGAAGGCATTTAATAATCTTCAACCAAATGAAATAATGGAAGCCACTCAAATCAGTTCACCATCGAATTTTGGACTGTTTGAAAATGGTAAACGTATCGAACATCTGTATTAATTATGGTATATCTTTATTGTATTTTTTCAAAGCCAATGTGATTAACTATAAAAATAAAAATTATAACATGTTTTTCGTGATAATTTCAAAAACTGTAAGAGATAGGTATAGGACATGTTGATAAAAGTCCCTCTACAAATTAATGTACTTTTGATTGCCGTTGAGAAAATAGAGTCATTTCATTTGAAAAAACTGAGTTATAGCTGTTTGGTAATGATCATTTTCAAAAAATCATACTAGCCTTGCAATTTGACAGTTGACAATTTTGAAAATTCTAGAAAACTTTTCGAACCTTTGGTTATCGAATGCAAAAAAAATTATTTACTTATCGCAAAGGGTTCAAGAGCTGATTTTGTAACTTCCTCAGTATTACTGTGGTTCAAACATAATATTAGAAAAAACTTGGATATTAAGAAATTTACTGCACCAAAAATAGTTTATCGATTTGAATGCAATTTTTGCCCATTTAAAACACTTCATAGATCATCACTAAAATTCCACATTTGTTGCAAACACACTCCACTTGAAGAAATCAAATGGTTTCAATGTGAACAATGCGATTTTAAAACCAAACGAAAATCATCACTTTCAGAACACATCAAACGTAAGCACACAATCATTGAAGAATCACAATCGAAATGTGTTCGTTGTGATTTGTGCAATTATACAACAAGTCGGGAAGAGAATTTAAAAAGACACAAAAATTACAACCATTTGGCACCCCAAGACACAATTTTATATGAATGTACGCAATGTGTATTCAGAACAAAGCATCGGGGCGACTTGAAGCGCCACCATATAAGACATCACACGGCCTTAGATGCTATAAAATGGCACAACTGTAAGCTCTGCACCTACCGGTCGAAAACCGCATCAGATTTGAGGTCACACATTCGATTACGACACGAGGATTTGAAACAAAGAATGAGATTTTCTTGCGATTTTTGTCCTTACAAAACCGGGCAAAATCTTTCTTTGAAAAGACACGTTACTAGACGGCACACTGCACTTGAGGAAGTCCAGTGGTTCGAATGTGACCAATGCAACTACAGGGGAAATGCCAGTCAACACAAAAAAATGCAACATTCTGACAGCAGTATTAAGACAGTGTCGTGCAATTATTGCTGTTTTAGGACCACCGTCGAGGATGAATTGGAGAAACATATCGCAAAAGGACACTCTTTAAGGAAATTACACGAATGTCCACAGTGTTTTTACACAACGAAACGTAAAACTTTACTGAATCGGCATCTTGTAACGCAGCATGCTGATGCTGAACAAATCAAGTGTTTCAAATGCAATGAATGTGATTACCAGGGGAAACTTAAAACTTATTTGATGAGACATATTAAGTTGGTTCATAAAAGTGAGGAGACTAATAAGTTATTCAATTGTGATTTGTGCGAGTATAGGAGCAAGAGAAAAGAGAATCTAAAGAGACACAAGATTAGTATGCATTCCACAATACCAAAAATTATATAATCCTTAAAATTTAAGTATACTTTTCTAGCAAACAACATTTTAATTTGCTGTAAAAGTACACTAGAAATATGTTATTTATTATAAAAAGTATAATAATGAAAAACTAAAACCCAAATTCTTATTTTTGACGCTACCAACCTTGCAATAATTATTCTACATTTTACGATGCTAGGGAAAAAGTTTGTATTTATGATAATTTTTGTACCTCTACTAAATTTAAAAAAAAACATATACCAGGTGAATAAAAAGTATGGAACCAAACGTTTTGCGCTTAAACTATTTATCTTTTGAAAAAACTAATTAATGAGTGATAAAGTACTAAAAAATTTGATGATTTAACAAGAATAATTTTTTTCGAAATTACCTTTTGTTTTTGAGTTCTACAAAAAAAATATTTTTTTAAATGGCAACCCACTATAAAATCATTTTTCTCATAGAAACCATACTCTAAGGATTACAACTAACTGCTTTATATTTAATTTTTTCAAATTTTTTTTTTACATAAATTGCAATTTTGACAAAAAAAATCGCATAACTGAAAAACAAAACAAAATTTCGTTCTGAAAATACGATCACATTTTTTATATTACTTTAATTTATATTAATTATTATTTTCTGGAGGCAAATGATTAAAAATAAAACCGCTTGGTTCCATACTTTATTCTCACCCTGTATGTATGTACAAGATTATCAGTATCATTAAATAGTCATAAAAAAATGTCAAATGTCAAAATTTTTTAATTATTTTTTCCATGTTCCTGCTGGTATCTTACTTAAAAAAATTTTCTGGGGCACGAGTTCCTAAACACTGTATAAGAGTTCTTTTACTGGACGCAATCTTCCTGCTCATGGACAATCCCTTAGAAGCAAGGGAGACGACTCTAAACTTTTGTACGGTGGAAGGTGCTATATTTTTGACAAGAGAAAAATCAGTAGTTCGAAATTGTCAAATAGTTGTGAGATCACATATTTTGATGTTAAAGCCTGCTTTATAGTTAATTTTTAGAAAATGTCAAAAAAGTTGATGTTTCATGTTTTTTGACCGGCGTAGGACAATCATTTGTTTGTTAATATAATAGGTATTTTTTTAAATTTGGCGGCATAGTTGGCGGTGATTTGAGTGTGAACAGACCATAATTTTTAATACGTCCGGCCAAGATTTATAAAGTAAGAAGGTTGCCTTTGCACCAATCAGTGATGCCAGATTAGGGAATTTTTCCCTAGTTTTAGGGATTTTTCTAACAAAAAGGGAAAAAGGGATTTTTTCAATTTTTTTTTAATAATCTAGGGATTTTTTACATTTTCAGTAAAAACATCAAGATTTTATAATTTTTATTATATAATATATTGTAACTTTGCCAAGTTAGCGCATTTTTATATGAGTTTAGCACACATAGTAACGCGGAAACCAAAAATATATTTTCTGTAGTTAGATGTGAAAAGACAAGATAGGAAGTGCACTAAAAGCTGTTTGCGTTTTTTGCGTTGCCATGTTTACTAATTATTGCAATTCATTTAATGTTTTAGACGAATATTTAAAATTAATGAAATCCTATAATTTATAAGTATAAATAAAAATTAAGTAGGTATCTAAATATACACGTTTATTTGAATTTGTTTTAATTAACATGAATTTTATTTTATTATTTCTTTAGTAAAATTTATTTTAATTTAATGTTATATTATTTATTGATTTTTTTGTTGTTTGGAGTTAACACATTTTTTTGTTGTATTTATATTATATTACCTCAACGAAATAGACCTATGAAACAGTATCTTTTAATTTTTTTAAGTAGTTTAGGGAATTTGGAAGCTACAATCTAGGGACAAGCGCTTAATCTCATCTGGCATCACTGGCACCAATTCTACAGCTCCCAACTCATTGGCTGGGAATGTGGGTTGGAAAGTTTCCACACAAACTGAAGGTGAAAATGACCATTCACCGTTTTCGTCTTGTACAATACAAAAAAAAATTCTGCTCTAAAGTGAACATTATTATTTCACTTAAAAGGAATAAAACGTAAACTTGTCAAAGTTTCCGCTGACATTTCATGTCAAAAATCAGGATTGCCATCTGAAGGACTTTAATCACCGCCTACTCTAATTTATTTATTTTTTTGATCGCACGGTACTATTTGTGTTTTTATTTTATGTTTTATTATTCTTATTTCCAGAATTCGCAACTAGAGGATTTTGTCTAAATAGAAGAACGTAGGTCCAAATAGTAGTTCGAAGTAAACTTTTTATTGATTGAAATGATTGAATGTATGAACTGTCTAGAAAAATACCGTGGAATTATCTTCATACTAAGTTAGGACACCCAATACATTATAAATTTATTATTTTTATAATTTTAGGACGTGTAAAATATGACAACATTCTGAGATATCCATAGTTGCAAAATAAACTAATGTCTGGGGAAGTAGGATTTAGTTGTGATCAGAGATTTGAGACTCTTAAGTGTAAACTGTGTAGTTTTGAAACAGATTTCAAGCTTATTTTGCATTACCATACCAGAAAAGTCCATCACGATTTAAATAAAAATACAGGAGTTTGTAGAAATATTGCAAAATACAAATGCCGCAAGTGCCATTTTGCCACCTATTCAGTATTACTGTGGTTCAAACATAATGTTAGAAAAAACTTGGATATTAAGGAATTTACTAAAGTTTATAGATTTGAATGCACTTATTGTCCATTCAAAGCTGCACAGAAGGTGACATTACAATTCCATATCCTTAACAGACACACTCCATCTGAAGAAATTAAATGGTTTCAATGTGAACATTGCGATTATAAAACTAAACTAAAACCATCATTAATTAGACACATCAATTTAAAACACACACTTATTGATGAATCACAGTGGTTCAGTTGTGATTTGTGCAATTATAAAACACAACAAAAACGGTATCTAAGAAGCCACAAAGTTTACAATCACTCGCAAGATATGCAAGAGTGTACGCAATGTACATACAAAACAAAAAATCGACGCCATCTGAAATGTCATGAATTAAGACAACATACGACCCTTAATGACGTCCAGTGGTACAATTGTGAGCACTGCACCTACCAGGGGAAATTCAAATCAAATATATCAAGGCACATGCGATTACGACACGCAGAAAAAACTTTGAAAAAGAGAAAAGAGTTCTCTTGCACCTTGTGTCCTTACAAAACCTTATTGAAATCTTCGCTTAAAAGACACGTCGAAGGGCTCCACACTGCACCTGAAAATATCCAATGGTTTGAATGTGATCAATGCGACTACAAGGGCAAATGCAAAAGATATTTTAAACTTCATAAAAAAATGCAACACTCGGATGCCAGCGTTAAGAAGTTCACGTGCGATAGCTGCCCCTTTAGGACAACAACTCAGGTGGCGTTGAAAAAACATATCGCAAGAAGACACCCTTCAGGGAACTTGTTACATGAATGCCCTCAATGTTTTTTTACGACGAGGTTTCAAGCATTTCTGAAGCAGCATATAATAAGGCAACATACTGACGCCGAAAAAATAGAATGGTTCAAATGTTTTCAATGTGATTACAAAGGAAAATTCAAGGGAGATTTGCTTAGACATATTAGAAGGGTTCATAGAAGTGTTGAGGTTAAGACGTTTAGTTGCGATTTGTGTGAGTACAAATCAAATAGAACAGATAATCTTAAAAGACATAAATTTAGTGTACATTTCACAAAAACAGAAGTGCTGTAAATTTGTGTTTCGTTTTTATGTTTTTTGAATTGTTTGTTCCATTTTGATATCTTTTTTTTAAGTACTTTATTAAACTTTGTTGACAAACTAGAGGTGCAAAATAGAAAAATAATTTTAGTTTTTCAATAATTATGCTGGCGCATCCACCATTTTTATTGTAAATAAAAAAATGTAACTCGTAAACAATTTGACTTATTTTTTAACAAGAATTTCGTACAGGAAATCGCTGACGATTTATATTCTGTCTATGAAGTATTTAGGCTATAATGTGCACAAACTTAAACATGAAATCTCAAAATTAGCATCTACTTTAAAAAAATACATATTTAATAAAACCAGTGCAGTGAATTAAGAAAACGTAAAATCAGACAAAAACGTTAATTTGATTTGTTTAACAGAGAAAAACATTTTCCTGTCTTTTTCAACGTTTCATATTTTAGAAAAATAAATGAACCGTGGGTACTTTGAATTGATCTGTTGCCTTTTTATTGGTGTTCCTTACTATTTTCACAACTTAATGATGAGTTTTATTATTATTATTTTCATACAATGCAATATGTCTATGTATATTGCATTACATTCGTCAAATATATAATTGTTTAGCGACCTTGAATATTCAGGTTTAGTATTGTATAATTTGTGATTATAAATTAATATTTGATTTTGTCAATTTTTGTATCAATTTCCGCATTTTTAATAGAATAAAATTGAAAAAAGCTTGCTGTTTAATTTTTCCAATATACGTCTAGTGGGTAGGTATATGTAACTGAAACGTGTGTATTTATTTCCGAATGGAGACTTATAAATAGATCGATTATTCATTTCCAATTTTTTTAACAGTTTTAATTTTATTTTGATTTGTTACACATTAAATATTTCTACATAATACATAATTTTTTTTTCTAGTGTAAACAAGGGAATTATAACATTATCAAATTTTTTCAATTAATTTTCTAAACTTTAGTGACTACTAGAAGTCAATTATTTTAACAAGATTTCCTACATAAGTATTGCGTAAAAATGAACACTGGATATTGAAAGTACTAAAGTCGAAGAGGCGATCCTTTAACCTTAATTAACATATTATAAAATTTATCATATTCGTATAAAATCGCCTTGTTAGCTTTAAAAAAAAACTACATCTAATACTCCATTTTTATTTCGGAGAACATAACTTAACGAATGTCTTATATTATCTTATTTTCTTTTATGGAAAGTATCAGTGTTTATAGAGGGTCGCTAAAAAGTATGGATACAGCTAAATAAATATTTTTAGAACGGATTAGCAGAGCACGTTAAAATTTGGGAAACAGTTTACTTATTTTTTGGTCAAAGTTCAGGCGGCAAAGAGCTAACGGTAGATAAAGACAACATTTCCAAGGCTAAAAAAAATACATTTTTCAAAATTTAATTAGTTCAATAATTTTCAATTAAAATAAAGTATGCATGTGTTACATCACAGAACTCAGAAAAAAATGCTCTTCTTAAAAAATGTTATGTTAAATTTGACCCTTCTTTGTCATTACAAAAAAATCAAGTGAGCCTTATCGCCTTGAAGCCCCAGAACAAATGGAGATAGAAGTTTAATATAGATAGAAGTGTCGGAGGGACACGGCTAGTATGGTTGGTTGCGTACCCTCGGGAACTCTTTTAAGTAACCTCGTTACAACGTCTGAGGTTGGAATTTAAATACTTTTAAACATACAGGCTGTTCGGTCCAAGTCGCCCCGGCTGATAACACCTAAACTTACTTCTTTTTTTCAAAAAGTAAATATTTAAGACTAATATTAATTCTTGGCTTTCTTAATAAATGTATCAAATTTTTTTAGCACATCCGGTATTGCCGCAAATGCTACCAAATTTAGTTTTTTAAATAGACCACCTGTTTTTTTTCCTCGAAACAATAATAATTGGCATGAAAAATACGGTAAACCACTATTTATTACATTTTGCGTAACACAATGCAATCAGAAAACATCTTAAATCTTAGAATCCTATAAGGAAATTGGTCGCGTAGCCTGATTTTTTAGTTTAAAAGAAAGGTATGAATAAAAAAATGCTTGGACACAGTTTAATTGTTGGTTTGACAAATCTAATTTGTCGGTTGATGAGCGAGTTCTCTTATGAAAACTCTTGGATTTTCTTCGACTGATAACAGAACATTCAGATTTTTATTTTCTTGTTCTTCACTAAGAACCACAAGTTTTTTAGTTTTAAGAAGCGAACCTGTTTGTCTCAGTTGTTTTTCAATTCGACTAAATAACCAACGATTTGGGTGAACTCTAATTGGGTATTTTTCTCTATACTGTCTTTCAGCTTCCGCTCTATTTTTATTTGCACTTAAAAAACTCTTCAAGCTGATCTACCAATTCGTCGTAATTATTATCATCCATTATTAAAAATCCCAATAAGATTTATTGACAAATTAGGCTTTGTCAAAATAACAATTGAACGGTATCCAAGCATATTGCTTTTTACATGAATACCTTGACAAGTAAAATCCGCCTACGTTGCAAAATTTGCTAATAAAATTCTAAAATTTAAATTGTTTTTTAAGTGCATTTTCTTGTGATGACTGAGATACTCCTTGCATTTTCCCTTATAGCTACAGTGGTCACTTTCAAACCATTGGATTTCTTCAGGTGCAGTGTGACATCGGATGACATGTCGGTCAAGATCATGAGAGTAGAATGTTCGAAAAAAAACAGAAATTGCAAGTGAAATAGGTGCCAGTTTGATTTTCTGGTGTCTCTTTTGTATGTTTTAATCGAATGTGTGACAATGTATTTGATCTTGTTTTGGAACGGTAACTGCAATGGGCACAATTGTACCACTCTGCATCATGCGGGGTTGCATGTTGTCGTATCATGTGGCATTTCAAAACAATTGTGTGTCCACTTTTGAAGCTACATTCTGTATATTCATACAATTCTTCAGTCTTGACTTTTTTCAAATCTTGTTGAGTTTTGTCATTGCACGAGCCACAATTGATATAATCAGATTCGTCGCTTTTGTGTCACAGTCTCATATGTCTCGTTAATGAGGATTGAACTGTAGTTTTAAAATCACATTTCGGACAATGCAACCATTTTACTCGATGTTTCGTTTTGTATTCACATTTCGTACAGTTAAGCCAGACTGTATCTTGGGGAGATGAATGATTGTAATTTTTGTGTCTTTTTAAATTCTTCTTTTGTTGTGTTCTGTAGTTGCACAGATCACAGCTCAACGATCGAAGATCATCAGTGTTTTCGTGTATTACACTAGTGTGCTTTAATAATGAAGATTTTGATTTCGTTTTAAAGACACATTGGGAACAATGCAACCATTTTATTTCTTCATAAGGTGTGTGCCTGCTAATAATGTGATATTTTAATGTGACCTTTTGAACGGTTTTGAATGGACAATAAGTGTACTCATATGTGTAGACTTTAGTAAATTCTTTAATTTCCACGTTTTTTCTAACATTAAGTTTGTACCAAAGTAATATTGAATAGGTTGCAAAATTACACTTGTTGCATTTATATTTTACAATTTCCTTACGAGTCTCTTTATTTTTATGCAAATTCTTGTGTAAGTTTTTGACGTGGTAATGCAAAATAATCTTGAATTCTATTTTGAAATTACAAAGTTTACACTGTAAAGTCTCAGGTGTTTGATCACAAGTCGATTTCCGTTTATCCAACATTTTCTACAAAGTTCCGGCTGGTTGTAATTTACACTTATTTTTTCCTGAAAATAGTAAAATAATTATTTTATAAAGAATTGTTTGTACTAACTTTGAGGTTAATAAATCAACAGTAAATTTTCTAAATTTTCAAAAATTTTCATTTTTGGTCACGTTTGACCTACAACATCTTTGTTTGTGTACGATTTTGCAGAAATCGTTAAATTGCGAGTTCTGAAAATTTAATATAAATTGGTTCCAAAAATTTATAAACATATTTTTGTTAAAGTTAGTATCCAGTTAAACATTATAACTGAGTACAAACAGTGTTAAAAAGAGACCTATAGTTTATTTTTTTTAAGAACGAAGCGTTGCGGGAGATAGGGACTAAAATTGACAAATCAGGTTACTCTGTTTTGCACCACGTGACAAGCCTTATTTACATTTAACTATAATTACCAAATAATTTTTAAAAATCTCTAATCTTTGATATTATTTTTGAAATATGTCATAATTTTTTAAGTTAAAATGTCGTTTGTGGGTGCACGATTTCAGCATTTTGGTGTAGCATAATGACACAACAACCTGGTTCTGTTGTAAAAATAAATTCCACGGGAAAGCCAGTTAGTAATATCTAGGCTAAATTTAGAGAGCAGAATGAAGCGCTCTCCAAAACTGAAATGGTAAAAAGGGTGTCTGAAGTAGCGGGAATTGGTCAGACATTGGTTTGGTAAACCATTAAGGAAATGGAAGAATCTCATGCAGTGAAATCGCCACCAAGAAAAAGGAAAGATTCATCAAATGTTGTTCTTGTTCTTAATTGAATTTGTAGACAATAATTTATAATAAAATGCCAAAAACAAATAACATTGAAATTTTATTCGTTTTTAAAATTACAATAGGTATAACTACAATAGGTAACCAATTATACACAATTCTAAGAATTGTATTATAAATGGGGCGGGCCGATGCTGATGTCATCTACTTCGTTCTAAAAAAAACACACTATAAATGAATCTAAAAAAGTTAAGAAAACGTTTGCTGACCAAAAAACGTTTCTTGATATTAGGATTTCGCTTAACTTTAACTTAGTTAAATAAAATGATCTCAAATTTATAATGTTGAAGCAACTATGTTACAAATCATAAACAGAATAAAAATTTAAAATGAAATTCGTTTTACTCCATGTCTTCCACTTACGACGCCTCTGATTTTTAAATTTAAACATTTGATTTTTGAATTCGTTTAGATGTCAGCTGCATTAAATTTTGTAATTTTAGCTTTTCTGAATATTTAGCAAAACGCCAGGGGATGTAGCTCCTTACATAGTATTTTTCGATATACATAATATGTTCATAGGAAACTTTTGAATATTTTATCTAAATTTGTAACAATAAAAACGGAACATTCTATTTTGATTAAATTGCATGCTGGAATAAAAATTTTGTCATTTTAGTATCGAAACAAAAAATAGAGTTTATTAATTTTTCCATGTCGTTTTGGTTGCGTCACACATTTATTTCTGAAACTCATGTAACAATTTTTTTGAAAAGTGACTTTTCTGATATATTGTACAGTGATGGACAGTGAATTTCGTCCAACCAATTTCCCTGACAGATTAAAAGTGTAAATTATTTTTTGGCTTTTTCTAAGCTTGTTTCAGAATTTTGATTAACGTTTGTCATGTTGACAAAATGCTCGATGCTCCTTGCTACTTTTTACCTTTAGCCTTTGAAATGCGAGTGCTTGGTATGCCCAAAAGTAGGTATAGACACACATACCTTCTTGTACACTGGCGGACACGGAATTTTGGACGATTTGTCATTTGAATTTGACTGACATAAAAATGTAAAACGGATCTTAAGCAACTAACCTCACTTTCGGTTTTTGTAATTTTTATCCTGACGAGAAAAAATGACAACAAAACAAAATAATTTATTGAACCTATATTAAAATACGTTGGTACGCTGGCGTTATTGTTTCGGAAAATCGACGCCAAAATTAAATTTCAATTAAAACTTTCAAATTTTAGTTTCAAATGCCAATTATGAGGACAATAAAGCGTGGCTTACATTGACATTTTTTGAACCGACATAAATTTGATATCCAAAATTCCGTGTCCGCCAGTGTACCAGGGAGATAATTTTTATTTTATTATACGCGTTATCATGACAAAAAAGCACAGACTACAGTGAATTTTTGTAAATTCACAGAAATTGGGTGGACAAAATTCACTGTCCATCACTGTACTACAATACCTCTATGAAAAAATTAATGAAATAAATTTAAAAGAAAGTCAAGAAATATTACTGGCTCTGATACGTTTTCTCTTTACAGTATTTCGCACAAATTTGAATTAGTTTAATCAACACTTGGTGGCCGCCTAGTTTTTAGGTTATAAGATCTATTTGTTTTGATTTTGAAGTATAATAAGCTAGTTGAAGTAGTTTGAATTTTTGGTATGCAACAATCCAAAATTCAAATAGCAATTAATTGTAAATTTTGTAGATTGCTAAGATGCAATTGAAGATGAAATTGAAAGCAGTGGGAATAAATATTAAATTCCACACCTTCCCAAGTGGTACAGATGCTGTCTCGACAGCAACAAGAAATGAATGGATACAAAGATGTAGACAAGTCAAAATTAATGCTCTCACTAGCGCAATTTGTTCCATTCACTTTAAAAACAAGGATTACAAACGCGACCTAATGAATGAATTGTTAGGTATTACATATCTTTCACTATAACGTTAATATTTTCAAACTTTACTTTAATAGGTAAACCATTTTCCATTTCAATCGCCACATTGTGTTTTTTTAATCTGAAATAGCCCCAAATATTTTATTTCTGTGTAAAAACAATTGAACTCTTCTGACAAATTTAAAGCCATTTCATACAGAAAAAACATTATAAAAACTGACAGAATGGCGATTGAAATGATATAACGTATAAATATTAAACAACCTCCAATTTGTTATTAGGTTTGCCTTTGAAAAAAAAAATAAAAAAGAAAGCCGTTCCATCATTACATATACCAACATCAGTAGAAGAATAAAAGGTCGTTGAATCTGACCGAATCAAGCGATTAACACGAAGAAAACAAAAGCGTGTGTGAGACAAACCGCCCACAAGTCCACCGGAATGTGGAATACAAAGTAATGCTGAGGGCAAAAGTAGATTAAGTGCGGATAGATATACCGAATTCTAAAAAAAAACCGAAAAACTGAAACAAGAATTTTCCCATTTTAAAGTAGAGCCAAAGAAAAATAAAATTATTGAAGAGACAAGTACGATATTATAAAACCAGGCATGAGAAATTAAAGAAGAAGGAGAAAGATGATGGATTAAAATGGTTAAAATTGGTATTAACAGATTAGCTATTCTCACAAAAAAAGAAAGACGTTAAAAAGAAACAAATATTTATTTTTTTACAATTGCTATTCTCAAAAGTTATAAAATATCACGTAATAAAGTTATATTACATATTTTGTTGGATTGAATCACCTATAAATTAGTATTTGATTACATGAAAAATTATTCAGGCTGTTTCAGAACTCGCGCTCCAAAGAAAAATGCCAAGTAAGACATCAGGAACATGGAAAAAATGTTTAAAAACTCTATCTATAAAAATTTCGAAATTATGGGACTTACACTTGAGTTACTTCTTTTCAGTTGAATGCATAGAAATCTTATGCCTCTTAACATTCCATCTTGTTGTCGACTTGTAATCGCACAAATCGCAACTAAACATTTTCTTTTCAGTATTTCCATGAATTGATTTAATATGTCTGGCCAAATATCCCTTAAACTTTGCTTTATAATCGCAATCATTGCATGTAAACCATTCGACTTTTTCAGGGTCGGTATGTTCTCTTACAATATGATCTTTCAGATATACCTGAAACCTCGTCGTGAAAAAACAGTGAGGACACTCGAGCAACAATTTCCCTGAAGAGTGCGTTTGTGTGATATGTCTCTTCAAAGCTCCCTCAACAGTTGTCTTATACTGACAGATATTGCATGAGAACTTCTTATCACTAGTATCAGAATGATGCATTTTCTTGTGATGACTGAGATACTCTTTGCATTTTCCCTTATAGCTGCATTGGTCACATTCAAACCATTGGATTTCTTCAGGTGCAGTGTGACATCGGATGACATGTCGATCAAGAGCACGAGGATAGAATGTTCGAAAAGAACAGAAGTTGCAAGTGAAATAGGTGCCAGTTTGATGTTCTGGTGTCTCTTTTGTATGTTTTAATCGAATGTGTGAGAAGATATCTGATCTTGTTTTGGAACGGTAACTGCAATGGGCACAATTGTACCACTCTGTATCGTGTGAGGTTGCATGTTCTCTTATCAAGTGGCATTTCAGGACCATTGAGTGTCCACTTTTGAAGCTACATTCTGTACATTCATACAATTCTTCAGACTTGGGTTTTTTCAAATTTTCTTGAGTTTTGTCATTACAGGAATCACAATTGATATAATCAGATTCGTCGCTTTTGTGTCGCAGTCTCAAATGTCTCGTTAATGAGGGTTGAAGTGTAGTTTTAAAATCACATTTCGAACAATGCAACCATTTTACTTCCTCAGGTGGAGTATGTTTGTTAATCATGTGGTATTTCAATGTACATCTCTGATTTGCATTGAACGGACAAAGAGTACACTCATATTTCAACTCCGTGTGTCGTCTTCTTAAATGGCGTTTCAAGTCGCCTCGATGTTTCGTTTTGTATTCACATTTTGGACAGTTATGCCAGACTGTATGTTCGGGAGATGAATGATTGTAATTTTTATGTCGTTTTAAATTGATCTCTTGTTGAGTTTTGTAGTTGCACAGATCACAGCTAAACCATTGAAGACTATCAGTGTTTTCGTGTATCACACTAGTGTGTCTTAATAATGATGATTTTGATTTAGTTTTAAAGACACACTGTGAACAGCACAACCATTTTATTTCTTCAGCTGGAGTGTGTCTGTTAAGGATATGAAGTTGTAGTGTCACCTTTTGGGCAGCTTTGAATTGACAAAGTGTACATTCAAATCTATAAACTTTAGTAAATTCCTTAATATCCAAGTTTTTTCTAATATTATGTTTGAACCACAGTAATACTGAGTAAGTTGCAAAATTGCACTTGTGGCATTTAAATTTTACAATTTCCTTACGAGTCTCTTTATTTTTATGCAAATTCTTGTGTAAGTTTTTAACGTGGTAATGCAAAATAATCTTAAAATCTGTTTTGAAATTACAAAATTGACAGGTAAAAGCCTCAGGTGTTTGACCACAAGTGGCTTTCCGTTTATCCAACATTTTCTATGAAGTTCCAGGTTGTAATTTCCTGAAATTGGTAAAATAATAATTTTATACAGTATTGTTTGTACTAACTTTGAAATTAAGTCAACATTAAATTGTAGTGTCTTTTTTGAGGTAGTTTAATTTTTTTCCACGTTTGACCTACATTGTTTGTGTACTATTTTGAAGAAATCTTTTACTTGTGAATTCTAGATAATGTAAATTGGTTACAAAAATTTATAAACACATCTTTGTTAAAGTTAGTAGGTATATCTATTTAATTATTATTATTAAATAAAAAATGTGTTAAAAACAAACATAAATAAATTTAATAAAAGTCATGAAACCGTTTACGATCTTAAACGTCTCTTAATAGTAGGATTTCGCTTAATTTTGATTTAGTTAAATCAAATATCTGTAAAAATTCAAATTTCTTAAATATTAAAGCAGATAAATGATCCATTAATTTTAGAATTACCTATAATACTATCAGGTGTTTCAGAACTTGCGCCCCAGAGATAAATGTCACGTGCCGGCGGCAATGAGTCGCCAAAAAGTACCTACAACCCAAGAAAAGTAACTTTATTGCTTTCAGAAAATTGCATGACACTTCCTAGCCCGTAAAATGTAATTTTAACATGTCTTTTAAAAATGCGAAATTATCTAAAATTTATATCAAATTGTTAATTGCCAATAAAAACTGTCATAAGTAAAAATCTATGTTCGATAGGAGGTCGTACGGGAGGTTGCATTTTATCTCCATTACAAGAGAAATATAGTTACAAAAATCAAATAATTAAATATACTTTGAAAATAAGTTGGCAACGTTTACTATCAAATTAAAACATCACAATTTTATAGGCAATTGTCATTTATTTCCGAGGACACAATCTAATATCACCATTAATATAGTGTTGCCAACTTAATTTTAAAATCAAGTCACTTTGATCAATAATTAAAAAAGCTATTACTGTTTAGTTACATTTTTTGAAAAGTAGTTTTACTAATTGAACTATTCTGTAGATTCGAATTGTATAGAAAAATTAGTATCAAAACATTCAATAGAAAAATTAAATTAAATATAAATAAACAACAAAGTAAGAAACCAAAAAAATTAAACACAACAGTTTGTAAATGAATCAAACAGATTTGTTTTGAAATCAATATCTACCTATTCAAAAAAATACCAGTTTAGATTTCTTTCAGTTTTATTCATAAATAACGTTGGCGACTTAATTAAAAATTGATATGAGTTCATCGCAAAGTCTTTGTTCTTGCCGAGGTTGTTGCACTTTTTATTCCTAAAAAAATTAAATCACATTGTATAAGATATTACATATTGTGAAAATTATGGAATTAAGTGTCGACATTTAACAAACTATTCTCATGCACGTATTTTTTCAGGGTGTATTAAAAATTCGTGTATTAATTTTAACACGTGAAAAACTCACCAAGTAAAACAACTTTCTATACAGGGTTATTCATAAATATGAAGCAATATTTAAACCTCAAAAATGACCTATAAAATGATGAGATACACCCTGTATAAAGGCAATTACCTACAAACTATTTTAGTAGTTACTTCTACATTTTACTGCAAAATGTTTTAGTTTATATCTATCTTCTGTTCATTTTTCTCTTAAGTAATAGTCAACAATGTCTATGTCCTGGTGTTGTTCTGCTGTGGTTCGAGTCTAAAGGCCGTCGTCGGTTGGAATTGCTTCCTAACGTTTTGCTAGCACAAGCGGCAAGCTTCTTTACAGGTCCTTCCATCTCCGTCTCCGGTGTTGGACTGGCGACTTCTTCTGCGCATGTTGTATTTATAGTATACAATAAATTTAAATACTGACAAAGCTGTCAAAAAGCCAGGCGTTAAAACCTCTTAACAGTCCTGTGTGATGCTAGGGTAATAGTGACAGCTTAACCATTGTAAGTTGTTGAATTTTATTTATACCATAACAACATGGAACAACGAAAATATATTTTTATTCAATATACATATTTATACATTGTAGGGTATTAACTCAAAATTTTCACATAAGCATTTTTAAGAATGTGAAAGCGTTTTTCAACAGTTGAATCATCTATATTATTGTCGAGGTGTAGCTCCAAAACCTTTTTCCTATACTGCTTCTTTACTTCTGTTTCCGAAGCACTAGAAGACAGTCCTAGAAGTGAGTAAGCGTCTTCTTCATAATGATCTGTAATCCATTGAACGTTACTGCTGATCATTTCAAAACACAAAGAGGACATTTGGTCACCGACTGTTGAACAAATATCTTCAATAATTGCATCGACGTCATTATTGCAATTACCAATTTCTAAATGGGAATCAAGATAAGAAACAAACTTTGTGATACAGTGTATTAATTTTGATGTGTTTTCTGCATTGTTGTAAATCTGGGTAACAATGTCAATGAGTGTCTTGTCTAATTTTCCCAAGAGCTCGAATCCAATTTCTTTTAAAATACTTTTAACTTCATTGTCATTGTTTAGGAAGTCATCTACGATGTCATCGATTGTTTCTTTGGCTACTGTTCGAATTTTTTCTATAAGATTGTGATTCTTTCTTATAGAATTAGCTAAAAATTCTTTTATTTTATCTTTTATCCATTCATAAAACTGTTCAAACATCTTGGAAATTAAAGGTTCAATGACATTTTCTTTTATAATTGATTTGGTAATTGATTTGGTTGTATCCCATGCTATTTGCTTCGTAAAATTTAAAAGCAGCTTACATCTACTTAATTCTTTAACTTTCTGTAGTTCTTCCAACTTTGATATTCCACCCAATTTATTGAACATTTCTACGTTACTTCCTTTTAGCTTCAATAATTCATCCAGCTGTTTGATCTTCGACATTTTATTAAACTTAGCTACTATCAACAGCTTTTCCAAATAATCTCCAAGTCTGTCGACAACTTTTGCAAGTTTTGTACACACGTTTTGTAAATAAGTACTTCTCCGCAAAAATAATGACAGTTTTCTGCAGTAACTTACAGCTTTGGATAAAATTCTGACCGATTGACTAATGGCACTTATTCCGAAAGTTATCAAACTGATTCCATAGGAGACGAATTTGCTTTTTCGGAAATCTGCTTCGTCAAATTCTGTACCACCTTGAGCCAAATTTGCATCACAATATCGATGACTCCTTCAGAAATTAGAGTACCCGCAATATTGGACATTAGTGGAAAAATTGGAAGAAAGGCAAGTCCGATACTAAGTGCTCCGATTCCTCCCAGAATTTGTCCTTGAGCTGCATGTATAACTGTGTCTGGAACGTCATGAATTTCTCTCAAACAGTAAATTGTATCAATCCCTATTGAATGCAACTCGGTTAGTTCACAGAGTGTTATGAATTGTGTCAAGTCGGGATTTTTAGAAATGCTTACGATATTTTCAAGTGTCGTTTCCGCAGTTCCGGAAAAGTCTACTCTTGAATACTTTTCTAGAGATTCGAGTAAATTATCGATGTTAGAGTCGTGGAAGTTCAAACAATGCAGACGAGAGTACAAGTGTTTCACGAGCAAATTTTGATTGAAATTTTGATGCAAAATTGCTTCGAAATCCTCATTTACAGTTTCCTCTTTTATAAGATGTGTTTTAATATAATTAATTTCTTTCTGGATGGCTTGTTTTGCACACTTTAGACAATTTTCAGCTTCTTGTTTATATTTCTCGTTCTTTTCGACATGAACGAAGAAAATATTAGCTACTGCTTTCTTGAATCGTTCTTTAATTTGCTCGCCTTCGGAAATTGCAATTTCGAAGAGTTTTAAATGGACGCCTGCCAACAACTCGAAATTGTTTGGTCCTCCAATTTCCAATGCACGTTTTAGTTCGTTTTTAGCTTTGCGATTTTTTTCCTGTTCTGAATAACAATCAGCCAAAGCAACACAATACAATGGGTTGTGACTGATGGTTCCTTTGGTAATTGTTTCGGCTTCTTTCGTAAATTTCCTAAACTCATCTTCTTCAGTCGTAGTTTGAATGTTGCTCGCGTTGAAGTTTTTCTTCTCTAACCAAAATGCCCAAAATTCTTTTAAATCTTGAAGTACAAATCCATATTCCCGTGAATCATTATTTTGTTTCAGATTTGTGTAAAATATTGAAAACTTTTTGAAAAGTTTGTCTTTAAAGTTCAATTCTTTGACCAGTTCATTGTTGATCTGATCCAACCTTTTGGATTCAAGTGAATCTCGTTCTTGCTTGATTTTGGTGAAACTTGGATTCGATTCGATTATTCCAAGTTCGTCAACTTCACTTTTTCGAATAACTAATTGAGCTGTTCCTTTGTTTCCTTGACGTGAAGTTCTACCAAAAGCTTGACCTTCAACCCGTAAATTACAAGGAAGAAACCCAACATAAATATGCAGACCACCATTTATTTCTAAGCTTTCTTCTGTCTTGAAATTTGTACCGCGACCGGCTATGTTCGTAGCTAAAATAATGTCACCGACCTTGACTCGCTCCTCAGTTTCTCGTGCGTTTTCTTCATGGGCAAAATTTCTAATACGAAAATCGCCATTTTGAATGAGTTCTAGATTTTTTTTGATGCTGAGAAGATCTTCTTCCGTCTCAAAAATTGCTAAAACAGCTCTTCTTTCATCAATTTTAGACAAAATTTCTAAGGTAACTTTAATGGGCCATGATTTATCTTCAAAAATGAGTCCAGGGAGTTCCTCAAATATTTTTTCTTTGTAGGTCGGTAGCTTAGCGTAATTAACATTGTAAATACTGGAAAGTAATTCTTGTTCAGCTTGAGAACCCAAAGTGCCGGTCAATCCAAAAATATTTTCGTCGCGGTAACATTTGATGTATCCAATATTCGAAATAAAGCTACTTGTCAAACTTTCAAAAGTCAAGTAAAGATTGTGTTTCAGTTGGACAAACTGATGCAAACCATTGGACCAAATTGTATTTTTTAAAGTAACTCCGGTGTTTAAGTAATCGACAGGTGTTACAACTTCGTCCCCGGTGTCATTTTTCATAATGCGATATTGTTGATGTTCGTGGCAATTGTATTTGGCATGAAGAGCATTTTTCAACCACACATCTAGTTTGTCCCTGACATATTCTTTCAAATGTTGAGGAATTAGACAAACATCGATTGGATTATTGGCTTTAATTTTTTCTTTAATATTTTTTCTTTCTTGAGAAACCATTTTTTGGATAAACTTTTCATATTGTAACCTCGCTTCTTCTTTATTTTTAGAACACTGTTTCAAAATCGTTTCAATTTCTCCTTGAATTTCTTTAGCAAAACTGTCTTCAGCTATCTGTAATTGTTCCCAAATGTTGATGTAGATGTACCGTAGACATTCCATCCCAGGGAAAGGGGACGCTAATTTTGCAATATGTCCTCCATTGTCAACTAGCATACTATCAACTTCATCTAAAATAACTTGTCCAAATTTTCTGCCGTTTCGAATATTGAAACCTTCAAAACTGTCCTTGAGATAATCAAACTGAAAATTACTTATAGTGCCATAAAGAACATCAGCACTGTAACCAATTTTAAAATTTCCTTCTCCTTCTGCAGGATTATTAGTTGAAACTGTTAGATTGAAAACAGAATAAAATCTCTTCGTTTCTGCAACACCATCGGCGGCCAAAAGTGAATTGCTGGTAATGACGTCAACTGTCCAACCTTGAAGCGCTTTGATAACAGCAAGTAATGAAATAATAACAGTTTTGCCTTCTCCAGTTTTGATTTGACACAACCGACCTTGATTAGACGATCCATGGAAAAAGACCAACACCGCCAAAATTTGGGTGTCACGAAGACTAAAACCTCCAGTTAGCAAAGTGAAAGCTCTGTTTGCTATAGCAATAGTTTCGCAAATGTCTTCATTATTGTTGGCCAAATGACCTTTTTTCGCAGTTGCCCAGGCGTGTATTTCGTTGATTGTGCTCTTTTTCCAAAATTCATACTTGCTTTTAACTAAGTTGTATTTTTCTTCTATTTGATGTATATCTTCTTGAATTTCTTTTGATGAAGAATCTTCTTGATCCATCCCTATAGTAATTTGAGGTAGAAGTTTGTCTAAAGGTGTACAATTTTCTGTTGTTGAATGTGTCTTTATTTCAGGAAGTTTTTCAGAAATAATTTCAATATTTTCAGGAGTAAGCTTCTCTTTTCGTGTTTCTTCTTCGTTTTCTATTCTGGATTCATAAAACGATTTCATTTTGTCAACATCGATGTTTAAAATTAAACTAATGTTTTCCAAAGCAGCAAAAAGTTGTTTATCCACTTTGATTTTATCGAGAACCATAAAAATGTTACAAAGTGTTTCCATTTCTTTGGGGAAGTCTTTTTGAATATCCAATTCATATTCCTCAGATTCTGCCTTTTGTAACTTGTAGTTGTTTTGTAACTTATTGATGTTTTCTTCATTCAAAAACCTTAAGCGTGCTTGTTTAATTTTGTCGTGATCAATATTTTCCTTTTCGAACTCTTCTTCTAACACCTTCTTGTAATCCAAAATGTCGGAAGTTACTTCCAAAGGTAATTTATTGATAAAATCTTTTAAAGCAATCTTAAACTTGTCATTTTGAGACAAATCTAAAGTTAATTTAATCACGTTATTGATTTTATCTCTGTTTAGATTACTCATTTGGAAAAATTTTACATTTGGAAATTTTTCTACAAAATCGTTGGGTTCGTTTTTTAAAAAATCGAGCATTATTTCCAAATTTCGCAAACAGAATGGTCCGTAATTATAATCCTCATCTATTTTTTGTTCTTCTCCTTTATGTAAAACAAATTCCATTGAAGAAAATTGTTTTTTCAGCTCTTGTACAAGTTTTGAAGGAACATCACTGCCACTTGAATCTTTATACAATGTGAAATTTATATCACGTTGTCGAGTCAAACAAAACAGAACCCAGCGGTTTTTCTGTTTTTCAAAAATTACAAAATTTGGTTTCTTTTCTTCTATGTTGATATTTTTAAAAACTTGATCAAAGTTGTCGTTAATTAGTAGTTTAAATTGTTGATTGTAGTTTTGGTTATATTGCTCCAAAATTATTTTTGCGTGCTTGGTGATGTCTTCTTCAATGTAGGGTGTAGCAGAAAGAAGCTTGGCCAAGGTTTCTTCTGTTTCTCGAGTGGTTGGTAAAGTTTTGTTGGAAATAATATTGATTTCTTTTCGTTCTTCTTTACGTTTTTTGGACTCGGATCGATGCATTGCGATTAGTTGGCCTGAATAGAACATACATTGTTACAAAAAGTTTACAGGATTAATCAAAGAAGGATTCTTACTTTACATTGAAAGGATAAATGGAATTTTTAGTTTTATCATACAAGATGTCACGTGACAACCTGCCCCGTAACTGGGCTGGTTACTGTCACAAGTTATTGTTTATAATGATTCTTTTTATTTTTCCAAAAAAAGCATTTAAAACCAAACTTTGATATGAATATAATAAGCAAATAATAAACTAGATTAAATAGGTCCATAATTTAGATGTAAAACAAATTCAGAAAGTCAAATTATAAAACCTAGAATGTTATTGAGGCATGATAAATAATATCATTAATCGTTGTAAAATAACAGAAAATAGTTAAAATACTGACAATTTTTGATAAGAAGAAATAACAAGATAAGCTAAAAATATCAATAATTCATTCAATAAACAGAAAATTAAAATAAAAAATCTAAACCCGCTAATTTCTATTACGCTATATTATTGCTTTAAAGTGTTGAAATAACTGAAATTTTTATTGATTAATGTAATTAAACATTAAAGATTTGACATCTCGATTAAACGATTAGATTAGATGAGCAAATTTTCCAGTTGATTATATTTTTATGGTTTTGTTCATAAAAGATAATTATTTATTTAATTTGAAAATACTTTTTAAATTTCATAACATATATTTTCAAAAATACAAAACTTAGGTACACATTATGTAGGTGTACCTATAAGATTCAAAACAAAAACTGCTATAGAAAACGAAAATCAAATAAATGATATTTGAAACATTTTAAATAAATGACATTTATGACATTAATTTATGACATAAATGACATTTGAAACACTTTAAAATATGAAATAAAAATGTCGGATTTCATTCAAAAAGCAAGTTATATACGTTGTTGTTTACCAATGATACCATTTAAAAATAAAATTCAGAATTATCAATCGAGACAGTCATTCTTGACTTACCACTTTGTATTTAAATAAACAATTAAAATTTTTACGTATTATTTAGAATAGAACAAAATTTGAACTTTCAATAATAAAGTACCTTACTATCCTCCGACACCAGACGTTTCAAACATTTTTAAAACAGAAATATGTACCTTCTTTAATAATTTTTAAATAGTTTGTTGTATTACACAAACAAAAACAGAAAAACGTTAATATTGTTATTAAATTGTAGATTAAATAAAAAATGTACAACTTTAGTTTTTTGACAAAAATGTGGCAACTCATCCTCTATGTAAAAAATGTAAAAACAATTTTAAAAATAGAGAACACAAAAATTACTTACCGTAGAATTCATGAACTTAAAGAGCCATATTATTCTATAAGTAGCTACTTAAACTTGTGAATACAAGTTTTGTTTATATATCTTTTTATAGGGAAAAAATACGAAAAAGATAAGCTAAAAATACCAATAATTCATTCGGTAAACAGGAAAATTAAATAAAAAAAGATAATCCATATAAAGCCATACCTATTGCTTTAAAGTGTTGAAATAACTGAGTTTTTTATTGATTTAAGTAATTAATTTAATTAATAAAACATCAAAGATCCGACATTTCGATTAAAATACAGGTTGATTAAAGAATTTCAGGCCATCCCTTGGGTGGTGATAAAGGACATCCAACTGAGTTAAAAGTTCTCATGAGACAAAAAATTGTTTAAGCCTTTATGATAATAAGGAAATTGGCAGTTGTGTTTTTAAACCCTGTATTACGAGATTAGATTAGATAAAGTTGTTGAAATACAAAATAATTATTTACATTTTTTTGAAATTATTATAAATATAAAGTGTCTTAATCAGTAACAAAAATATAGTGTATTTGTGACAATGCCTTCGTATGAAACTCATCTTCGCATATTTAATAACACGGTTACCGATATTTTAACAACATCCGTTTCCGGAACAGACAACTATGATTGGGATGGTAGATCACGACCTGACAACAATTTTGTTGGTGTTTTTATTGGCGCTAAAACATCAGAACAAAGAAGAGCTGAAGTTAATAGATGGGCAAAAAATTGTCCTTTCACCATGACTCTTCATTTTCGAGATGGGACTATCGACACATTTAGAGTAAATCAAAAGGCTGCTATAGGTAAAGCAAATATAGATTTACGGCACACAACAGTATCACACAAAATCTCCGCGAGTCGTTGCGATAAAAAAATTCTTGTCATAGAAATCGAAAATACGGAACAACAATTACAAGAATACAAAGCTGAGAAGTTGAAGAAAGAAGGAGAGGCATCTGCTAAACAAAAACAATACGAAGCTGCAATGAAAAATCTTGATGAGGCTTTAAAATTAACTCGTAATAGTAAAACTATTGCAGATTGCAAAGCCCTTCAAGGAGAAGTCTTGATGGCTCAAGCCTGGGATTTGGAATCCAAAGAAAGTGCTGCTCTTGCAGAGGAAAAGTTTAAAGAAGCTAAAGAAAAGTTTACACAAGCTGGTAATCACATATGTGTGAGTCTTGTCAACTTGAAACTGGAAGCAAATAAACTTTTCAATGAGGCAAACAAGCTGGAAGAGGAAGCTTTTACTTTCTTCAAAAACGCAAAAAATGGGGATGAGCTCAATTCGGCCCAGGATAAATATAAAGAAGTTTTGGCTAAATATGAAGAAGCAAAGAAGAAATTCGATGAAGGAGTCAAGAGTGATAAAGTTAATTTTGAAGAGTGTGCTACATTCGTTAAATCTCAGATCGAACAAGTGCAGAAAGTTATAACAGATATTGAGAAAACAGAACTGAATTATAATATGAATCAAGTGCAGGTTAATGAGGAGAAGAAGAAGGAAGTTGGAGAAGATGAAGTGAATCAAAATTTACATGAAGAAAGAGATGGGTGAACAAAAATTAAAAGGACAAAAGCAAGATAATGTAATACATATTTTACGAATATATTAAATTTATAAATAATGAAATTCAAAAATATTTATATGCAATTAATGGATATTTAGATATTTTATTAAAAAAATATTGAATTATGCATATTTTTATGTATTACCTACTTATTTAACCCAAATAGCCTCATATCCTTTGAATTTATAACATAAATTTTTTAATCTACAGGGTTATTTATAAATATGAAGCAATATTTGAACCTCAAAAACGATTTATAAAATGATGTTAATTTTTATAAAAACTCGTGTCTTATCTGTACTGGTAAGAATTTTATAGCCCTCGGAATGTGGGTATGGAAATTTGTTTTTTTTGGAATAACTTTGCAACCATTTGACCAAATATTTTAAAATTTGGAATATTACTTGCAAGAACATATCTTTTAAACTAGTAATCACGAAAAGTGGACACATCTACTCAATTTTCGGTTCCAGCAGTTGCAGGTCACATTTTCTGTGTTTTTCAGTTTTGGCCTCTTAACACTAATATTTTATTGCTTAAATCGATAGAGTAATCAATTTCGAATAAAAAACGAATAACCTTTAATACCCCTAAAATGGATTGTTTTAAAAATATTTTAATTTAAAGTGAGAACTGCACAACTCTGTAAGCAAAAAGTATGAATTTTGAATGAGTGATATCCATGGCAACGAATGACCATGGTCACATATTTTGCTGTCAATTTCTATTTTTCAGAAGACATCTAAATCGTCCTTTTAGTCTTCCATTCAATATCTCAATGCACTTTCTACTTTGACGTAATTTTAAGTTGTTTCTTCCTTGTGGCATATTAGGCTGTATATTCCCAGGGTACTGAATTAATAACCAAGGGCTTAATGGATATCCTTCATCTCCAGTTAAATGCCAGTTTATATTGTCATTAAAAAAACGATTTCTCAAATGTTGAGAAATGTTAGACATCATCCAAATCGCAACATCATGCACACTTCCAGGAAAACGAGTATGTATTCATATTCAAAATTCGTAAATGTGCATCAACTATGATCTGCACATTTATACTATAAAACCCTTTACGGTTTAAGTATGGTGCTGCGGGGTGAATTGGATGATTTCTTGGTGGAGTGAATATTGCCACATGAGTTCCATCTATGGCTCCGATTGTATTTGGAAATTGGTATTTGCTAAAAAATATTTGAATTTTGTTATATATTTCCTGCTCAGTCCGTAGAAAATATATCCATGTATTTAGTAAGTGGTTGTTGATAATTCTTGTTACACCATCGATACAGCGGCTTACGGAAGGTTAACTTAAGCCAAAATTACCTCCATGTCCGGCATCTAGTTGATAACTTCCATGTCCGAAAAAATGCACAGCACATACCTAATATTTCCAAATAATTTCGAATGCCAGAGTGGCGCATAATGTGGTTCATATGAGGTTCTACAGTATTAATACCTTGCTGCTTCTTTATTTAGCCGAAATAATTTGATGTATCTAAACCTGGGCAATTCAAAAGGATTTGCAGCGTCACGCAATTTTCGACTAAATAGTTTCAGTTCTTGCCTAAAATAATTGTATATTATTTAAAATGGACAAAAAATGCTACAAGCAAATTTAAGTTCCTACCTTTTAATGCCTTCTTCGTGCTGTAGAAGTTCAATTAGAATAAGTGCAGCCATTTTATGATTGACAGTTATTACATGTGTTAATTTTAAAGTATTTAAAGGCACGTTAAATGAGACTGTTAAAATTATAACTATAACATTTCATTTTAACAACACCTGTAATTTTTTTAACATAACAAATTTACAGAATAAGGTTTGGTATTTTAAAAGCTGTTATTTTTATAACACGATGTTAAATTTAACATATGAGATGCAGAATAGGTCTCAATAAAAGTGATTATTTCAAGCACATGTCAAATTTACAATTTCCACCAATAGCATATCTTTATATCATCCAATCATAAACGTCTTTTGGAATAAACCTTTTCTTCCCGTTATCATTGAAGTGATTAATTTTCTTGCTCTTATATCAGATGAATTTTTTAATTTAATAATTTTTTTTCATTTCTCTTTATTAAGTGCTTTTGGAATTTATGAATTTCACCTCAAACTTTTTTTGTCTCAAACAATTTTACTCGTTGAAATTTCGAAATTTATATTCTGATTAAAGCCCGACAGCTGCAACTACTAGATAACTTAAAATTTATAGACTCTATACAGGGTGTTTACGGTCTTGAGGTTGAAATTTAAATGAGATGATATTCACGGTAAAAGAAAACTAATACGCTATATAAAACAAAAATTCACGTTGTTAACGGAAATTATTCATTTTACACTATTTGTTTGAGAACTGCTGCTTCGGCTGCAACAATGGCCATTAATATCATTACCTTGTGTTTCACTGTAAATCATAATCACAACAACCAATTTATAATTTTATTATTTTGCCATACATGTTCTTAAATTTTGAGAAAAATTAAGAAAAACGAATCAAACCTATTGGAAACCGTTCGCTGAAAGATATTAAACAGAAGATCTTTGAATTTTGATAAAAACTAAAGCAAAAGCAAATCAAATGATGACAGTGTCAAAACTATGAAGTGACTTTTCTCTTTCATTGTCATGGATACGATTTTTTAATCTGTTGCAACAATACAATTTTATCTGAACAAGGAAATAATTCCAGTGACCCTCAAACCGTGTACCAATATTTTGGAGTTAAATAACATTCTTGATAATAACAATTGTGTGAGTTTTTTTTCTCGGTTACAGTATTTCTGTACTCTTCTATTACTAGGTCAAATTTCAACTCCAAGACTGTAAACACCCTGTATAACAGCAGTTTAAAAACTTAAATGACAAGAAACTGTAATCAAAAATTATTATTATTAGTTGTACAGGTGTGTAATATACTAAATTATGTTTTTTTAAGTCTGTTTACAGTGAATTTATTATTTATAGTTATAGTAACATTATTTGTTTACAATAATGATAATACAGCATGATCATTTAGCACTCTTTAAGTTGGCAACAGATTTGAAAGTATTTGTTACACTGCAACCGGATAGGTACCGTTTTGCTTGGTATAAATACTTGACGTATAGTTGGTTGCAATAAAAACGGAAAATGGAGTTTTCTTTAGAATGAAACAGGTTTTGCCCTTGTCAATTTAGTTGTCATCTGTCGCATTCAAATATTTTTTTTTGGAATGCCTCACTTAAATTCCGAGAGCATCAAATGCAAATCAAGATAATCAATTAATTGAGTACTTACATGAAAACCCAATGAGTAATGAGTGCTAAAGATTAACAGCCAGTTCTAACTTGACCTTTTAGAATTAAGTCAAGTTCAAACTAAGGATAAATATAAAAATCTGACATTTTTATGCTTTGACATTTTCCAAGTTTTCCAAATTAAGATTGCCAACAGATTCATTCATTCTTGATCACTTTGTACATTTTCCTTACAAATTTATTGTCTTTTATTTATTTATTTTCCGGTTTTTTTTTTGTAAATATTCACAAACAGTAGTTGTCTGACAACATAGAAATGTTTTAAATGCTTACAATGAATACGGAAAATGGTGTTTAACTTTACTTGATTATAAAAAAACGGACTTTACAATTTGATTGTAAATCGATGTGCACAATCCACCCGAAAGCGCCATTACAACTGACTAAACTGATGCATGTAAACAACCGATTTTTTTGTGCACAAAGTTATCCCTTTTTTGTGTATAACAACTTTCACGGTATTTCAATGTAAATTACTTTTACTGATATTTTTACTCCCATCTAACAAAGACAGGCACACGGAATATAATTGAGATGTAGGGTAAGACTTGCATTGTGACTTCTATTTGGGAGGATTCCGAGCTAGAGAAAACCTCAAAAAAATCGCATGTCTTTGGCAACTGATTCTCAATGTTCACACTAAAGTTACCGCTTTATCCCTAAACGAGATGCAGAATGAAAATAAAAATACTTTTAGCACCATTAAACTTGCACAGTATAAAAGTTTAGAGGAAATTGAGCTGATTTTTATCATGGTAACAAAACGAAAGCACGGTTTCAAAATAAAACTGGAAAAGAAAACATAAAATGCAAATATAATTGTAAAATAAAAATTCAATAATGATACGAATTAATCCATTAATTACTATCTATTATTATTACCTTATGTTAATTCTTCAACCAAGAAAATTATACTTAAAAAACATAAAATATGATTATGAAATGTGCAATTTGAATCTGACATTGCGTAATTGATGTAATTAATACGTCATTGTGATTACAATTAAATATTCTTTAAATCGTATAAAAAAGACCAAAGCTAGTAACACTTTAGTAAACATACTCGTAAACCCAAAATGGTGCTAAAAAATTTCGACATCACGTTTATTTTATCAAGTATACAAGGTGATTCTTTTAAGGCCTACATTAGAAACTTTTTAACTTCGAATGCACATAGGAATTTGAAATTTTGTTCACAACCCAAATCAACCAGTCTGAGTTCAACTAAATTATTTTCAAAATGGCTGAAATTCCGGAACTACGAGAAATTGGCGCCAACTTTGAAATTTTAAATGGTAACCACTTATTTTTAATGCATTTTTGAATTCTCCTCTCCAAACTGAGTAAAATGTACCTAGTTGTTAGTACTTATCTGTCATAGTTTTTGACATATGTCAATTTTTTGGTAAAAAATTTCACTTGCAGGGGTTTATTCAAAACATCACAGCTCTTGAACCCTTTGCGATAAGTGAATATTTTTTTATGCATTCGATAACCAAAGGTTCGAAAAGTTTCCTAGAATCTTCAAAATTGTCTACTGTCAAATTGCAAGGCTAGTATGATTTTTTGAAAATGATCATTAACAAACAGCTATAACTCAGTTTTTTCAAATGAAATGACTCTATTTTCTCAACGGCAATCAAAAGTATATCAATTTATAGAAGGACTTTTATCAACATGTTCTATACCTATCTTTTTCAATTTTTGAAATAATCACAAAAAACATGTTAATGTTTTTATTTTTATAGTTAATCACGTAGGCTTTGGAAAAATACAATAAAGATAATAATTAATACAGATGTTCGATATGTTTACCATTTTCAAACAGTCCAAAACTCGATGGTGAACTAATTTGAGTGGCTTCCATTATTTCATTTGGTTGAAGGTTATTAAATGCCGCCTCAATCCTTGACTCAATTCTTCGTAATTCCGGATGGGTGTTGTGTAGACTAATAAATCTTTAATACGTATTGATCATTTTCCAAAGCCTACGTTATTTACTATAAAAATAAAAAAACAAAAACACGTTTTTCGTGTTTATTTCAGAAACTGTAAGAGAAGGATATAGGACATGTTGATAAGAGTCCTTCTACAAATCGATGTACTTTCGATTGCCGTTGAGAAAATGGGGTCATTTTATTTGAAAAAACTGAGTTATAGCTGTTTGTTAATAATCATTTTCAAAAAATCATATAAGCTTTGCAATTTGACAGTTGACAATTTTGAGAATTTTAGGAAACTCTTCGAACCTTTGGTTATCGAATGCAAGAAAAATTATTCACTTATCGCAAACGGTTCAAGAGCTGTGATGTTTTGAATAAACCTCTACAAATGAAAATTTTGAGCAAAAAATTGACATATGTCAAAAACTATGACAGATAAGTACTAACAACTAGGTACATTTTACTCAGTTTGGAGAGGAGAATTCAAAAATGCAATAAAAATAAGTGGTTACTATTTAAAATTTTAAAGTTGGCGCCAATTTCTAGTATTTCCGGAAGTTCAGCCATTTTGAAAATAATTTAATTGAACTTAGACTGGTCGATTTGAGTTGTGTACAAAATTTCAAATTTCTATCTACATTAGAAGTTAAAAAGTTTCTAATATAGGCCCTAAAAAGAATCACCTTGTTTGTATTCTTGACTTTGATCATTGCTTTTATTATAAAGAACATCTGGATTAGGCGATGAAGCTGTAAAATTTAGTTAGTAAAAAGCTTTATTTGTAGCGAATTTACAACATGCGACTATGTTATATAAATTCTTCAACCAGACTAATCTTAAAAACTAAAAACTGATCTAATCGCTGATTCCTAGAAGTATGAAAATCAAACAAGGAAAACTGTAAAGTTTATGGAAATTTTTATTTTCCTAATTAATTTCCCAAACGAATCTAATTATTCGCAACGAAAACACTTCTCAGATGTCGGCCTGTGTTATTAAAAACTTGTTAGCCAAAACGAACCTGTTTCAAATTTATTCTAAGGTCAAGTCCACTATGAGCATTAACATAAAAAAATGTTTTTTTTAATCAGTTTTACCCGTTTTTTCCTTTTTTGTCACAACATTAAGTGTATAAATACAACTAACAAAAGTAGCACTGTTTTAGTAAATCTAAAATATGAACCACAAATACCTTAACATCACGTCTGCCTTGATATGGGTTTTATTTATTATAATTATGTATTTTATTATAAAATACAATTGGAGTAGACGCTGGCTCTACTATTATGGGTCTAAGATAGACGGACCCTTCGGTTGGCCCGTCATAGGAAGCGCCCATTATTTCATCGGAGGTCAAAAAGGTACAGAAAATATAAAATTAACTAAATCGCAACTTGTTTTTCAGTTTTCTTTAAAACTTTGACGAAACTCTTAGAACCATATCCTTCAGTTGCAAAATTTTGGTTCGGTAACAATTTAATAGTGTCAGTTTCACAACCTGAAGATGTGGAAATTATTTTGAATAATTGTCTCAAGAAACCGATAATATATAATTTTGCTTTAAGCTTTCTTGGAAATGGGCTTCTAACATCACCAGGTCAGTATAAAAAAAAACTATTAAAACATAATGACATGTTTCTGCTAAAGTTGATATTTGGAAAAGCAGAAGGAAAATGATTAATCCGACTTTTAACTCAAAAAATTTAAATTCGTTCATGGAAATTTTTGGAAAACATGCAACTCACTTGGCAAATAGACTTGACGAAAACTGCGGAAAAGAATCGTTTGATGTTTTATCAAAATTGTTTAGTTGCACGTTTGATATTGCTTGTGGTAAGTATTTTGCTAACTATTGTTTAGTTTAAATTATCTTTTGATTTAGAAACGCTTGCTGACGATAATAACACTATATTACATGACAAAGAAACCTTCCTTCGAAAATTATTAAGGTAATCTATATTAATTTTGTCTAGAAGTGATAAAAATAGGAAAAATTACTGCCTGTTTTTTTTTTAGAATAGAAGATCTTCTAATGATTCGTATATGTTCTATTTGGTTTTATATAGATTTTCTGTGGAATAGATCTTCGCTTTGTAGAGAAATGAACAAAACGTGTAAAGAAGTCTATGCTATTGCAAAACAAGTAATTTTTAACTCTCAAAAACTAAAAATAATTTTAGCAATTTCAGGTAGTTAAATTTAAAAAATCAAGTTTAAACCAAAATCCAGACGATGGTATGGATAATTTTTACGATGTGGTATTTTTATTCCTTTTAGTTTTAGACAACATTCACAAAGAAAAACGATTTATAAATCATTTGTTAAAATTGAGCAAAACAAATACGGAAATTGATGAAACAGCTTTAGAAGATGAACTTCAAACTATTCTAATTACTGCTAGCGAAACTACAGCTCTTACAGTTGGAATCACTTTAATAACTTTAGGGATATATCCAGAAATACAAGTAAAAATTTAAGTCTACAAAACTAATTACAAAAAGTAAAAATTTTAAGGAAAAAATTGACCAAGAACTTGATATGATTTTTGGCAACGATGATAGAGAACCAACTTTAGAAGACGTTAATAAAATGGAGTACCTAGAACGGGTTATTAAAGAGACTTTAAGATTACTTTCGCCTGTACCAATTATTGCAAGAGCAACTGACCGAGACATAAAACTTGGTATGAAAATCACACAACAAAAATTAAATGGGTGTTTCATTTTTATTGTTACAAATTTAAACAAGTGTTAAAATATTCCATTTTAAACTAAATTTTCTTATAAACACGTATCGAAAACTATTATGTAAGAGAGCTACACCTCCTCAAAAGGGTGCATTTTTTTAATAATATTTTTGCCATATTTCCGAAACCTTTTTACATAAAATTACAAAATTTGGTACAGACGATAACTTTTATTCATCTAAACGAATTCAAAGATCAAATGTCGGAATTTTCCTAAACTGGGGGGGGGGGGCTATATAGAGTAAAAATATTCTAATTATTTTGGCTTTTTTGATACATATGTTTATAGAAGAGTTTTGTCTTAAAATTGAATATTCTATTACCTGTTTTGTAACAATTAAAACGGAACACTCTGTATATAAATTTGAAACATTACTCGTAGATTCTTGCACAATCCCCACTGGAAGTTTTGTCTTGATTCCGATATATCTCATTAGCAGCAAATCTGAATTTTGGGAAGAACCAAATAAATTCGATCCTGATCGATTTTTACTAGAAAATAGTTCGAATCGCCACCGTTGTGCGTTTATTCCCTTTAGTTTGGGTCCTAGAAATTGCGTGGGTTTGTATTAAACAGAATTTGTTTCGTTTTTGAAATTCTAAATTTTCAACTTACAGGCTTCAAATTCGCCATGATGTCAGTGAAAGTTCTGTTGTCGACAATTTTAAGAAAGTACACCATTAAACCATCTGAATATAAAAAGTTGGAAGATGTCAAAATTATCGTTGGTATAGTGGCGAAACCAGTATCAGGCTACAAGATAAAATTAGAGAAAAAAATTATTGAGAAGTGAAAATTTCGAAAAAATAATAATATATAATAAAATAAAATAAAATATTTTTATTTTATTTAGAAAATCAAATAGGGATTAAGAATCTTATTGCTTATTTGCATATTTATGCGACTTTTAGCACACCTTTAAAAATATGCAGTATCAAACCAAACTATCTAAATTAAACTTTTTGAATTTTATTTGTCGTCTTAAGGATTGGTATCCAAAAATTTGTGAAAAAAACATACGTAAATAAATAAAATAAAAACGTAGTCAAGAAAGTGTTTGAAAGAAAAAGATTATCGTAAAGCCTGTTTTTTATTTAAACGGAAATTACCAGGTCAAAATTTAAAAAAAAACATACTTTACAATACATATCTATACCTACGTACAGGATGAGTCTTAACTTATACGGTTATTTTTAGAGTATGATAGGTTATGCCAAATAATAACTAATAGTGAAAAAAAATTTAATAAGTTTCTTAGTTACCGAGATGTAGGTATCTTGTTAATAACACTATTAGACTTTAAAATTTTAGATAATTTGGGCTGATGACACCAATGCCGGCATCACATTTGTTTATGCCATGCCTGTCAATAGCTAAGTGAGTCGATTTTCTTTGTTTTGGTGGGGTTAAGTGAGTGGTATTTTTATTGATATTCGACGAAAATAAATAAAGTTAAATTTAACTTATTTTTTATTTTTTTTACTTATTATTGATCATAACCTTTCATTCCTTACGTTAATGCGTATAAATTAAGACACATCCTGTATAGTGCATTTTTCAATTTGTAAACATTATGGTGAATTTGATCCAATTTGGATTTTACGGAGATAAGTAATATGAATGTATCAAAGTCAACGCCAAAGGTTTATTAAAAACGGTCAAAACTCTTGCCATCACCAGCCAAAATTTAGAGCTCTAATTACAAAAAATTATGACACTAGAAATAGAAAATTACATTATTCCTGTGTGGAACTACTAGTTAAAGGAATAAGGTGAGTGAAATTCGCCTATCCCGTGAAAATAAACAAAATGATCCGCCATTACCGTTTTTAATAAACCTTTTATCATTGAATGTGGAGTTGGAGTTGACTTTGATATATTCATAAGTATATTACTTATTAAGGAAAATAGACAAGACAAAGAAGTTTTCTTCACTTCTGCTTTAATTTTTAATTACAATAATAACTTTATTCGCGGAGCATTTTCCTAGATTTATTTTGATTTGAAGCGCATGTCCGGATTATCGTCTATCGCGAACGATTTTCTATTATTGTCAACATCAGGGGTTAATGTTTATGTTGCGAATAATTAGTTTTGGCAACTAATTAAGAAAAGAAAGATAACAATAAACTTTATAGTTTTGTTTGTTTGATTTTTATCCAGGAAGGTAAATATGTATGAATCATGATTGGATCTGTTTTTAATTTTTAAGATTAGAATTAAAATTTGTAGAAGATAGTCGTACGCTGTAAATTTGCTACAAAAAAAGCTTTTTACTAACTAAATTCCACAACTTCATTTCAAAACCTCAACAGTTTAAAAATTGAAAAACCAGCAAAAAATTATCCTAGAGCTTATGCGTTTGATTATTCAAATGCAGAAAATATACATTTGCATATACTCAGAAATGTAGGTATGTAAAGTCGTATTTTAAAAATAATTTACAATTTGTAAGAAAAATGTATAAAATGTTTTGGAGTATAGAGTGCGCCAGCAGCAAAATATCTAGTTTGATTGAGTGAAAATATTAAGTTTTTGTTGTCTCATTACTAGGTACCTCTTTTAGATGTAGATTTTGCAACTTTTCCTTTTAAGATAATAGTTTATATCAAGAATCTCTCCTTTTAAAAAATTCGTCTTTTAATATTAACAAATTTGTTTCACTTGCTTCAAAACACGAAAAACTCTCCTTCTCGACTCATTAAAAAAACTGATAAAACACAAATTGGAGCAGATTTAAATTTCAACTTTTAATAATTCAGACTCGGTCGTTTTATTAAAAAAATAAGAAGAAAACCGATAGCAGTGATAAAAATGAGATAGGCAGTATGTCATAGGAAGGGCCAACAAGGGTGGGGGTGCCTAGTTCGTCTTTTACCCAACATTAGAAAGAGATTAGTTGTGTTGAATCCAAGTGAATCGGCCATTTTCTACTTTCAGTGCATCACGTTTTCACGTTCTCGTTCAGCGTTTCAACATAAATCGCATTCAAATCGAACATAAGTTGTAAGTATTTTAACCATTATGATTTCGTAAATTTCAACGTGCATTTAGGTAATAACAAAGCTTGTCGCAATGTCGGACACTCCTGTGGAAATTCCCTCATCTTCGGAAAATGCGTCCACGGCGGTCGTGGAAAAATCCGCCGAAGAGATCAAAGCTGAAGTTGCAAAACTTGAAAAAGAAGCCGACGAATTGTTTCGTTTCGGATGGAAACTTGAATTCGGTTATTACAAACACGGACTCAGTCCTGAAGATCTTATCAAAAAACGCATCGAAGTTTTCACCGAAGTGAAAAATCTACACATCAAGACGAACAAACTTATTGATACGCACGCAAGGATGGAAGCGATTAGAGCAATCGAGAAAAAACTTGAAGCTGATGCCATTTTACGAGAAGTCGAGGGGTACGATTCGGAATCGGTGGAGTCCTGTAAGGAAGCGTTGAATAAAATTCAAAAAGCTGAGGATATTTATTATGCGTGTATGCAAATAGATGGAGTGTATTGTTTTAAGTATAAACAAGCAGTGACCAAGTTTCGGCAAGTTAAAGCGAGTTTGGAGACCCTACAGGAGAAGGACGAAAAACCCGAAGATAAAGTGTTGAATCAGTTTAAAGGGAGGACTGTTATAGAAATTGATCCCAAAGGATATGTTTTCCTTTAAATTGTTTCTTTTTTTCATTAATAAATTACCTACCATTTTTCAAATTTGTTTTTTTTGTTGAATTTTTTTGACTAGAAATAAATTAACACAAAACTCATTACTTCTTTTAGTGTTTTAAACAAATTAATATTTCTTAGAAAGAAACTGTGCGCTTATTTAGCTGATCAATTTCAAAAAATCTTGATTTCAAAAATTGGTTGGTGACTTTGGCTAATGAGGTAACAATGTTGGTAGTTCTGTTTAGAGCTGTCAACAACAACATGTGAGTTAACCTCAAAAAATGGGGAAAAATCACCGACACGCTAAAAAATTAAAATCAGAAAAAAGTAAGGTGAAAATTAAAACCAAAACAAAGTTTCTACCAAAAGGCCAAAATGTCACAAACACTGCGTTTAAAATACGATCGATTGTGTTACAAGAACAGCTTAAAAAGAGACAAGTTGAGGGATTATTGAGCAAAAAGAAGGCAAATATCGATGTAAGTTACAAAATTAGCTGTATTGTATTGTATTACTTTAATTCTATTTCAAGGAACTTATTTCAAAATTAAAACACTACAATGAAGCTGTGAAAGTGGAAGCATGTACCGATTTAAAAGACGTGATCATCTCCCACCCTTTAGAGGAAACACAAATTTACTTATCTCTGATTTCACAAAATGCCAGTGCTTTAATACAAGACAGAGAACGGAAAGTACGTCGAAGTTCAGTAAAATTACTACACGCAATTGTTGAAAAAGTAAGAAACAACTTTGTCTATTTCATTTATTAAAAATGATTTCTAGGTGTCGACAGCCACAATTCGCCCTTTCTTTAATTACTTTCTAACAAATTTGAAGTGTGCAATGACAAATATTAATAAACACATCCAGGAAGACTCTCTTCTTCTACTTGATGCTCTTCTAGAACACCAAAATCTCCTAATAGCAGAAAATTTCGATACAATTTTTCCAACTTTCCTCACTCTGATATCAAAATCAAAAAATAACTTGGGGACAGAAAGGAGTCTCAGTTTAAATCTGGAAGGAAAAGTGTCGAGTGTTAAGTGGAGAATCAAAGTTTTGACACGGCTTTATGGTATTTTGAATGCTTTGACGCAATGTAGGTCTGAGAAAAATCAAGATAAAGGTTTTGGAACTTTAATACAAGTTAAAGGAAATCCGTTTATTCCACTTTATAAAAACATAAATAATTATGAGGTTTGTGTTGGCAGCAGGACTAATCAAGTGAGTCACGAGTTTGACACACAAATCGCCAATTTGACACAGCTTTTGCATGAAATTTGGATCGAAGTTGTGCCCGAAAAAACAAAGAAAAATGGCCTAGGTAAGTAAGCAACAGAATGTAAAGCATGTTTTCAATAAAAAATAATGAGAAAGACTGTCAGGTTGCACATTTATGGTTATAAAGCTGAAGAAAAATCTAAAAACTTGCATTAATTTTGAAAAAACAACAAATCTTAACATCCAGAAACTCGAACGATGACGTCTTCTTTCATCAACTTGCGTTTAAACCACTTTGGCGTTTAATTAAACAATAATTAGAACACTCGAAAAACTCGCGAAAACAAAGAAGAACTAAATTGCCCACTACTACAAGTAAAATGCCCACCAAACGCTTAACGTCAAGTTAACAATATTTCATTGGTTATTTTGTGTTTGGCATTCGGTTTTAACCAATAAAAAACGGTTCTCAAAAGATGGCCGATTTGAAATTTGTTAGTTTTGAAATATCGAGCAATCAAGATAATTTGTAATCGAGTCATCTTTGCATCCGAGAACGTATGTCTGTTTTTGAACTAACTGCACGTGAAACGTCAAATAAAATGACAAGTCGAAAGGTAAAACGGCAAAATGGGCTGGAATTAGTTGGCGACGTAAAATTATACGAGTATTAATTATTAATTACTATTAATCCATTGAAATAAGCAACCAATACATCTTCAGTTACAACATTTACGTTTCTGTTCTTTATCCTCGATCGAAATTTTTCCTACTCCTTTACGTATCTGTCTTTAAATTTTTGAGGGAGTAGATTGAACGTGGCTGCATTAACAACTTCTTGTAGAATATCATCTGGAAATACATCGTTTTCTTTCTTTAAATTCTCTTGGTATTGTAAATTAAAGGCTTGCACTGCGCTTGCACACCCTTTTGGGATAAAAAATTATAATTTATTGGCAGATCAATAATTGTTTGTTTTATGAGAATCATAACGACGGAAACTGCCTCCTATGTTTTTGGTAGTTACACAAATTGAAATTTAAAAAATCTTTTATTAAAATTTCATTAGCGGGATTGAACAAAACGCTAAACAGCATTCGTGGGAAACTAAAGCATTCACTTGTATAGCGTAAATTTTATAATAAAATGCCAGATTAAATGACGATGTATTGATAAATAAATTGTGATTTCAACGAGAGAAAGACTTCAAATAAGCTCATATTTGACTCGGTGGAGTCATCCCTGTGGAGATTTCTACTCCTAGAAGTTGAAGTATTTCAACTCACAAAAAAGCTATGTCAACCGTTTCTATAGGCAGAATTTTCGACTTCTTAAAGATAAAAACAGTTTTTTGATGTCTTTTCAAATAAGAGAACAATTTCATTTTTTTCGTAAAGTGAATTCAAAAAGATAAAATATACGAGTAATAATTATAGAATACTGTTGTAAATAAAGAAAGCTAAACTAAATTTATCAACTAATTAGAAAATATGGAAAAAAATAAATATTTTGTAAACAAAAAAAGGAAAAAATGAATTATGACCCTTTGGATATTTGATAACTTCTAGTCAGAACCCTGTATGTAAAATAAACAAACCGCATACGACAAAAGCTTTGTTTAACGATGTTCAAAATTTCATAAATACAAGTCAAGGGCCAGTTTCATAACCGATTCAGGGTAATTCTAAACCAACTTTAATTTTAAAATCTTTAATTCGATTATGAAACTGGCCCTAAATATTACTCCTACTTATATGAAATCCTTATACACATTTCAAAATGTAATTTTAGACCACTATGTAAAAAATGCACTTTCGGTGTATTATACCGAGCGTGGCAGAAATAAGTACCGTTTGTCAAACTTATCAAATAATTTGCACCTTTTTTGTAGAACCAATAGTCCTGGCCACTGAAGAATCCGTAGCCGTTTTTAGTTGTATTGTAAATATTTTACACTTGTTGCACGAATATTTACAATTATCGGGAAATGTAAGTTTAGACATATTTATTTGTGTCCTTAAAGAAAATTATCTTTTTTTTTCAGGTTGAACTCTTCTGTAATAATAAGTCAGTGATATTCCTTGATCATCTATTATCTAATTTTCCATACATTCACAACAAAAGAAATAATTTTGAAATTATTAAAGAATTTTCACGATCTTTTGTCATGAATTGCGATCCAAATTGTACTGAAGAAAATTTGATTGTTATTTATGTTTTCCTAACTTTAAGAATAAATCTAAATGCCAAGAATAAGCCCAAAACACGTCACTTAGCGGTGTTTCTTAATAGTAAGTATTGAAAAATGCATCACAAGATGTCGCTTTATGATAATTTTCAGACTGTCTCAAATCCCCTCGCAATTTCACTCCTAAAGCCTACGCGTATTTAGTTAAAATTTTAAAGGTGATGTTTGTAAAACCAATCAACATGTGTCAAAGGTTGGGAATAGCTGAAGTTGAAATTATGGAAAATGTGGTATCGTTTTACACCAATAGAAAAATTTCCGATTTTTATAAAAGTGATCTTTTGGAAGTACTAACGTGTCCAAGGTAACTACAAAAAACATTTTTCTGTTTTAATTCATTTCATTTCAGATTTGAAAAATACCAACTGTGGACTGAAAAATTACCCGATTTTCTTTGTGCAAATCAAGTTTCCGTAAAATTAATTGATACTGTCTTGAATTTGTGCATGAAAGGACAAAAGGTTGTACAGGATGGTGTGACAAAATCGGTGAACCGGATTTTGAGTAAGGTTTTTTTTAATTTTTTTATTTTAGTTAATTGACTATTTTTAGGTAACATGCGTACAATGGAAATTACAGAAGCAGCAAACCTTGAAATTGCCCGAAAAAATTTTGTTAGTATTTTTTTCTATTTACCTAATCTGAGTACTCAAGATATCGATGAAATTAATAATTTTGTAAAATCAAATCCAGATTGTACTTATTCCAAACATTTTGAAAATGTTTTACAATTGAGGACTTACTTGTTGAGTAATAAATAATTTTTGTGTCGAGGTGAGGTTGATTAAAGTATAAAAATTTTCGTTTTTGATTTATTATGAAAAAAACACAGCTGATACATATAAAGACAAGTTACCTTAATTATACTGATAGTGAAAATTGAAAATTTATTACAAAGTATTACCATAGCAATAATCAATAATAACATAGACTAGATATAAAATTTAAATACAAAATAACAAGTATAGATATTAAAGCTCATTTGGCAAAAAATTAATCCCAATGATTCGTATACCATCGAAAAACCGGCGTAGCAGACAGAAGAAATTTATTTAAAGTAGTAAAAAATTTATATAAAAAGTGTAAAAACCGTATTAAGATATTACATTCTTTTCCTTTTTTTGAGACAAGTCATTATTGTCTTAAAAACCAAATCGAAAAATCAAATTTTAGAAGCCTTAAAATAGTTCTAAATCTCGGCGAAATCTAATCAGTCAAGCCAAATTTTTACACTCGAAAAAACTAATAAATTCGTTCCCATTTAACCACTTAATACATTGATTCTGTTGTCCTAATGAAAAACTGGGGGCCTTATAATACTGCTAATGAAACATTGACTTTCCTCCGTGTAAATAAGAAAGAGAACAATGCAGTGCTAGCAGGAAAACGACTGCATCCGAATTGACTATCAACAACTTAAAAACTGATCTTCATCACATCGTTTATGTACATATCTAAAATATAATATTTACAATTATAAACACAACGTTAACGAGAAAAAAAGCAAGAATTTTTCCCCTCAGATTTATTCGATTGCTTTACTTATGAAATCGATAAATCGCTTGCCGTACTGCTCCGGATCGCAGGTACTAATTCCATCGACGTTCGAACCGTACTTTACTGTTTTGGCGGCTTTCGCCGCCTGTTTTTTCACCCCATAATGGGTAAGTACGTCGATTATGGCGATGAAGTAGATCTCTTTCACGGGGGCAGACTCGCAACTAGGTATGGCGTAAATGTCCAGTTCGGGGATTATTCCACCTGAAAGTACATTACAATACTTATTAAAACACTTGTTATAATATTACAATTTTTGATTGTTGATCATAGTCATAGAGAAAATATATACAGGATGCGCCAGAACTTGCGCCCGCCCCAGCAGACAGAATTGCCATGTAAGGTAAGAACCAGGAACATGGAATTTTTTTTTAAGTTCTATTTATAAAAGTTATGAGAGTTTAAATTTTGCACTTTGACTATTTATTTCTGTTGGAAAAATAATTTTCCAAGTTTTTCTGCTACAGGCTATTAGAAAACAAAGAAGAATGTTATTTGTGGCTTTTACTGAGAAATTTTTTGTACAGAGGCCGTCATTGAAAAGTAATACACGGGATTTTGACACATCCTTTCAAAATTTAAAAAATTGCATAATGTATTTTTTTCGTTGTGATTGTCAGTGTCACTGAAAACGTCACTTTTGACAAATCAGTGGTGGACGCCGTCAGGAAAATTTAATAATGTCGCAATTGTCGAATGTACAGAAATCTATTATTATTACAAGATTAAGGGACAATGTCCCTCTACGAGTCATCACAGAAGAAATAAATGTGAACATAAATGACTGTACTTAAAACAAAGAAGAAGATTCTAGTGACATTTTAAACATGACAGTGATTGTCAATTTCAAGGGAAAATTTACAACGCCAAATTTTTTTTATTTGTCAAGTGTATTACTTTTCAATGGCCGCGACTGTAAGATACCAGAATATGTTTTTTTTTAAGTTCTATTTCGTTTCGACCACAAAGTGGTCATCCTCAGGTGAGAATAAAACTAACTAATTTAACAATGGTAATGCCTTATATACTAATTTTCCGACTTTCACTTTCCCTACCCCCAACTAACGAGTAGAGGGGAGAAAAGGGAATGGGGCCGTTGTCTGAATTCATGAGATTATCTCTATTTTTAAATATTTCAAGACTCTCGAAAGCGTCAAGAAATTTACAATTATTGACTACTCTAATGATTTTTACATTAGTTTCAT